TAAATCTTTATGCATCTTCGAGGAACAAGTGAAGAGTTCTTTGCTTTTTATTTCTTCAGTGATTGCAGAAGTAAGCAATACTACTGATCCCCAAAAAAAGAAATCATAGTAAAGATCTCAAAGAGAGATGAGAGCCATGTATAACTCTCTTTGTTAAGAAACATCCCAAATCAAACACAGAGTCTGTTGCTGTGGACAAATTACTCAGCTAAGCAGGAAAGTCAGTAAAACAGGGTTGTCCAGTTGGTACCAAATAGAAAGTTGGCCTTGATGTCGGTGTGTGGAGCACAGATAAAGTAGCACCCTTGAAAGATTAATTCATAATGAACATAGACAAGATTATTAAGCTATAGTTGGTCAATGCCCTGAATTCTGAAGTGTTTTAGCTTTTCGGGTTTTGATTTTGCAAATTTTATGTTACTCTCAAGGTTTTCAGAGTGTCAGGTAGGACTGAATGGCTCTGAGAATAATGAGGGAAGATTATCATTACTAAGTAGTATTTTATTAGGACAGAAAATAGTCCTCTTGTGACATCATGTGAAAATGGCATTTATTTGCATCTTTGGTGCCAAGAATATTGATAATGAAGCAGAGGTGAGAGGTATGAACATTTTCAGAATAAACTGAAGGTTTCTCCTGGAAGTTACACAGAGTACTACATAGTAGTGGAGCTAGAGATGCAGCTCTTAGACTGTTCTGTAAAAAGTTAGACTACTCAAAAAGTTTCAGTGAGGGCACTAAGGAAAAAGGGTTAAGAGAGTCAAGATTTTTTTAGGACTGAAGGTGGAGAAGAGATGGGGTTCGCTCCCAGTGAACTGAGGTTCACTGGAGTCAGTGGAGAAGAAGTTCTGTTGGTTTCACTGGACACTGAACCTGGCTTCTGAAGAATTCCTATAGACAGTCAGAATGACAGCCGTAGATCATTCTGGATCTTCTGGCTTGCATTTACAATTAAAAAGAAACATAATCGGTAATTATGTACTGCAAGACACTTGTTGTGACCCATTAGGTTAATGATCCTCTTCTCCTAATTCTCCTAATCCTCATCTTACTTGTGCCCTAGTTAAAAACTAAAAGCCTTAAACATAAATTCAGCACTTTGTATACAATAGTCCTGTACCCAGGGATCTGGTGGCATTTCAGGCATCAACAAAATATGTAAATTTGAATGCAGCTATTTGCTGTTTATCCATCTGGTATTGATATCAGCAGAGCTGCACATAAGGTGATCCTTACTCCACATTATGGACCAATCTCTTAACTGCACACTCTTTCCTTCATTAGTTATTTTCGTCAGCCAGCAAGTATACAAATAGATACATATACATTGTAATACTGTAATTTTCATATAGAGAGCATATACACAATACCCGTCAGTGGACTTGGAAAATTTGTCTACTGCCAATAGGAAATGTCAGTGCTTATTAAGCTCATGAATGAAAAGAAATGCCAGGACCTCTTAATGCACAGGCTTCTGGGCCCGCTTATTAATGCAAACCCTCTAGAAAAACGTCTCATGACAATATGACCTTTCCCAAACAATAACTCCTTATTCATGGTCAATTAGAAGTGTTTTCCTCATTTTAAAAAAAATGAGGACCAACTAATTAGATACCTAAAATAAAGTTGTTGAAATGGCCATTGGTTTTTTTCTGATAACTCAAAACTATGTATTTTATTCCCTCAGCAGGGAATAAATGTCTGCATGCTGCGCTCCTTTTACAAAGATTTAATATAGCATGGGCTCAGGAAATGGCCTCTTAATTTAGTGTTTACATATCTTTGCCAACAGCAGTTTAATTTTAGATATAAAACACTCAGTACAATACTGTCGTGCCTTGTCCATGTAATACAAAAAATTATCTAGAGAGTTCAGTGAACATCTTTGTGGGAGGATAAGTGGTGGCTGAGAGTTAGAGTTGTGGTTTTTATTGCCTGACATCAGTTTTTAATTCCATGACATTGTTTAACCTTCAATATGGTTACTCTGGGGGTATACTTGAATTGAGCAACTTATTTTGTGCCCTCTATGTGTTCCCTACACCTAAATGATAGTGTTGTAGACCAAATTTTATGTTGAAATTAAATATGCTGAGATTGTCTAAATCTATAGTTTATACTTCCAGAGGTGTCATTAAATAATTGTCTTCTGCTGTAAAAATCTCATCTACAAGGCAAACTGGTGAGGTTTTACAAATATTTGCTTTTTGATGAACAATGTAAGTGTATTTTATGTTCAATTGCAGAATTATATATATATATGTATATATCTATATATAGATCTAGTCCAACCCTTTACAATAAGCAGGGACATCTTCAACTGGATCAGGTTGCTCAGAGCCCTGTCCAACCTGACCTTCAGTGTTTCCAGGAATGCAGCATCCACCACTTCTCTGGGCAATGTGTTCCAGTGTTTCACCACCTTCATCATAAAAAAAAGTCTTCCTTATATATAGTCTGAAAACCAATATATATGATGTTATATTTAAAAGCAACATTTGAAATGCAAAGGGTTTTTTTTTGGTTTTTTTTTTTTAAGTGACCAGCAGGTCAAGGGAGGTGATTCTCCCCTGAATTCTGCCCTTGTGACACCCTCCCTGGAGTTCTGCATTCAGCCCCAATATAAGAAGGATGTGGACCTGCTGGAACGGGTCCAGAGGAGGGCCGTGAGGATGCTCAGAGGGCAGGAGCACCTCTCTTATGAAGACAGGCTGAGAGAGTTAGGGTTATTCAGCCTAGAGAAGAGAAGGCTCCAGGGAGATCATACAACAGCCTTCCCATACATAAAGAGGGCCTACAAGAAAGTTGGAGAGGGATCTTTTACAAGGGCATGTAGTGATAAGACAAGGGAGAATGTCTTAAACTGAAGGGGTTTAGATTTAGATTAAATATTAGAAGAAATCCTTTACTGTGAGGGTGGTGAGGCACAAGAGCATGTTGCCCAGAGAAGTTTTAGATGCTCCATCTCTTGGATGGTGTTCTGAGCAAGTTGGTGTAGTGGAAGTTGTCCCATCAAAACTAGGTCATCTTTATGATCCCTTCCAACTCAAACCAACCTATGATTCTATGAAATGTCTAGGTCTTCTTTGTTTCGCCCGTAGTTTTTAACTTCTTAGGATTGAATTTTATCAAAATCTCATGTAGACAGATGAAAAGCTTAGTAAAACCAGTTGCAAGTCATTTTACTGCTGATTTCAACATATTGCTTGCGTAGGCAAGTCGCAGCAGTAACGTGACACCAGTTAGACAAAGTACATCCAACAGAACAAGTCAGTTGTCCCTTGGTTTGGGACTGGTGCTGTGCTACAGTAAGTGCTCAGCAGCCTTTTAGGTGAGCCCGTTTATTTTCCCATCACAAGGGGCTAACACGACCTCTGTGGCCAGTCACCATCTGTCTCTCTCAGCTGGAGACACAGTGACTGATAAGAATTGGCAGCTTATGAAAACAGGTGATACACGCGCAGAGATCATCTTGGTATGCCCTCAAGGCCTTTTAAGTTACTTTGCTTGTAATAAGAGGATGCCAGAAGACCTAGTTTATGTATAGACCATATGTATATATATATACAAACAGCTGTGTGCCAAATATGCAACATATATATGGTTATCCTGCTTCAAACATGCTGCAATTTTAAAGCAATTTCAGTACTTCTTTCTCCCACAGTTATCTTTCTAAAATATAATTTCCCTAACAAATGCCATCACGATCATGTCCTCAAGTGTATGCCTTCATGCTCAGAGAAGGTTGGTCTGTGGAGCTGCAGGCTCATCCCATCAGTAGATCATCCTGCATTAATGCCTCATGCACTAATGCTAGGAAAGCTGTTCTGAGGTCTCTTAACTGATAAGTGACTCTCACTCCTTATCGGCGTAACAAGTAATAGCAAGAGCTTTGTAAACAGAGAACATCACTAGGCTTTGCTTTTCTAATCTGTCTGTATCTGTGATCACACAAGAAGCATGAGGATATCACAAGAGAAAAGCATCTCAAGTCCTTAATGAAATATCAGGGAATTAATTTAGAAGTAAGGAAACAGGGGTACAAAGAACATCCATGGGCAATTCCTTTGCCATGGCCATGACAGTTGCCACCTTCTTCAGTCAAGGATATTCCCAATGCAAAAGTTTTCTCTCCTTTCATATTTTTATTGGCAACTGGCAGGAAATTAGCATGCAGGGAATGGAAGAGTTCATCAAATGGAGAAAAACTTCTTTCCTAACAGCTGATAAGTGGTTTTGCCTGCAAGGGGCTGCTAAAACTTCCATGTGGAGAGTGGCATGTCCCTGGAAAAGGACAAAGTCATCACCTTGGGTAGATATATGTTGCTTGGAGGCCATCATTTTCAGTGAAGTTATGTGTCCAGGCAACCCAAATTCAGAATCACATTTATGACACTTTAGATTTGGATTTCAGCTACAGCTATCACATATCCTAGATCCATGCCAAGCCCCAAAGGGGACCTCCTAAAATTTCTGCTTCAGGTGCAGCAGATGATTTCTTAAGTTTTTAATTGTTTTCAGTGGTGCTGTTGGGTAAAGCAATGCACCTTGCATCTGAAGGGGATGTACTATTTTTTTTAACCACAATTTATGATTACTGGCAAATAATAGCTTTAACTTCTAGCAGAGGGGAATAGAATGACTCCAGCATACAAGTGATCTGAGCAGACAGTGCAAAGCTGCAATCTACTCTTTCAGACAATATAAACTGACAGTGTGATTATGTGCCTTCAGAACAAGAATGTGCTTTAGAGGCTCAGGAAATACTTACCAATAAACACAGAACCCCAGAAATCTCATCACTGAAACATGTGCATGAGGTCTTTTATTCCAGTAACTGCTTCCTGGGTGATGGAACATTTTCATGTTTAGATAGTATTAAAGCTTGTTTTTAAAAATTTTTCTGTGGAAATACTATATACAGGGGTTTTTTCCATGCTCAATGTTTTTTATGCTTGCTTTTCAACATGGCTGTTTGTTTTTACCCTGTTTTTCTGCAGCAGTTAAGATCATGGAAGAACCAGAATCATCAGGCGATGATGTTTTTGTTACAGCCAGCACTTATGAAACGTTGCCTTTCTTTATCGGTTCAAGTGATCTCTCTACCATGCAGCCTGAAGGTGTTATTACAGATGTGCTTTCATCAGACCAAATAGCACCACTGCCTGCAGCAACCAGCCCATCCTACAGCGCCTCTGAGATCATCGAACAGTCCCTCGAATTACCAGATTCCTCAGCGCCTACCCCTGAGAGCGCTCCTCCCGATGGCACTGGGATGGGAGTGCAGGATATCGCTGCCGAGTTGGATCACATCGGTGGGCTGAGCACAGCAGCTCTGGATGAAGGGGAGCACGGCAGCGGTTATATCCCAGTGCTGACAACTAAGCCTGCAGAAACCACCCCAGCTCCTACGCTGAAGTATGTAACTACCAGCTCCATGACAACTGCAGGCAAAGGCAAAGAGCTAGTGGTTTTCTTCAGCCTGAGGGTAACCAACATGCACTTTTCTGATGACCTCTTCAATAGGAGTTCGACAGAATACAAAGCACTAGAACAACAGTTCATGCAATTGGTGGGTGAAAATCAACTTGAACAATATATGTGCAGTTGGGTACAGTTGAGAGGAATACATCAAATTGCACAGTATTTTTACAATTTCAGACCCTACTACAGTCAGTCTGATAAGCTGCATTTTTAAAGGATCCATAAACCTCACACAGTATGGAGACAGAATTTATGAAAACAGTGATGAAAGTTTTTACTTGTTCAAGAGACTTCAGACATATGCCTGGCATGTAATTTATTTGGCTTTTTCTTACATTCACTTCAACAGTATAGCAGTGCTGATTACATCTAAGGCTTGTGTCTGCTTGCTGGATTTTAAAATAGGCCTTTAAAAATATATCATAGCTTAGCAGGGGGACTGTGATTAGATATGGATTTTCTCTATGGGTACAACAGGGCAGCAGGTCAGCTCAGTAACATGCCTATTATGCTATGCCCCAACCTGCCTGGATTCAATGTTTGAAAATAATTAAAGTTGGCTTTTGAGTGAGGTAATTTTTTTCTCTTCCAGATGAATAAACTCCCCAGCTGCTATGCATTTCATTACAGGGGAAATTGCTGCCCATCTATCTCAATCTATTATTGAGAAAGATGCAGAAGTCCAGAAGAAGATAGTGCTAAATGGAAAAGTTAATTTGTTCATGGAGTTTAACAATTGTATTTAATTCAGTGAAATGAGTGTGTGATGTTTGTACTTCATAATGAAAAGTGACTATAAGAAAAATTAACAGCAGGAAGAGACTGACAGGAAGTTAAAATAAAGGCAAATTTCTGTTTTGCAGCTCCTTCCATACCTTCAGTCCAACCTTACAGGTTTCAAGCACTTGGAAATACTTAACTTCAGGAATGGAAGTGTGATTGTGAACAGCAAAATGAAATTTGCCAGGACAGTGCCATACAATATCACAGAAGCAGTACACTGTGTTTTGGAAGACTTCTGTGATGCTGCAGCCCAACACCTCAATTTGGAGATTGACAGCTATTCCTTGGATATTGAGCCAGGTAAGATTGTGTTACTAATGTATGTGCAAAGTCAGAACCAAGCAAATAATCTTTTTCAGATTGTTACAGCTCCAGAAGTGTGGCTGTTTCGGAAATAACCATATTAACAATAGCCTCCCAGTGATCTGGAATAATAAGAAAAAACAAGATGTTGCAAATTATCTGCAGGCATATTTTCATATTATAATGAAAAGCTGGGTGGAGCTGTTGGTCTGTGCATGTTCACCAACTGGTTTTCAGAGCCAAATAGAGGCTCTCTAGAAGAAGGGTTGGGTGAAGACAGGTATAAGAAATGCTCGTGTGCATTTTACAGGCATAGCATGCAAATCTTGCACCTGAGTATGTAAACATAATTTCTGATGATTATTGCAAAACTGTAACCAAACCATAGTTTAGAGCATCGTTAAATCTTTTTTAAAGGGCTACAGAGTTCACGACAGGAGGAGATAATTTCTAGAAATAATTGGATTCTACAGATACTAACTACTCAGAGCATGACTACATGTAGCACTCCATAGATTGTAATTCCAGAATCCCTCTTGATTTAATAGCTTTCAAATAAGTCTGTAGTAGAAAGTCAGTAACCACACATCTGGACACTATTGTTATGTCAGAAGCTTAATGTTTTCTAAAACTATATTGTTCTATAAAAATTGAAGCCTGAATCTATCTTCAGGTTCTGGTAACTATTTCAGGACTGAATTTAATTTCATTGTCATGGAGAAAAATTATATCAATATCTGAGTATGCACATGCCTTTAGCCATTTTGGTTAAGCTGTCTTTTTATGTACAGAACTCTGACAATTCCAAAACAAAAGTCCATTTACGATTCATGCAGGCAGTTTCTAACCAGTTTTCATTTTACATATCTCCTTGTGGCCACTAAAAGCATAGCTAGTTTGTGGTAAAGAAAGTTAACGAAATCACAGTATTCAAACCTTCAGATAATGTCATGATAAACTGATGTTTTGATGAAGAAATTATTAACTAATGATAAAAAGTTAACTTTGGGCTACCACACGTTCCCTGCTTTAGTAGTAAGTTTTCATTAAATAAAAATTAAAATGAGAAAGTTGCTAAAATGCAAACACATAAAAATTTAAAAATCTTTCATCTTCATCCATATTGGCTGCTTTACTGATGTGGTATTTCAAAATAAACAGTATTATAATGAGACAGCTGTTCTTTCTAGGCTCATGAGCAGTAGTAAAATGTCAAAATAGAAGAATTTGTGTTTAGAAAGCCAGTATATTCCCATACAGGTATTTCAAAGCCCTCTGTTTTTATTTCAGAAAACAAACAAATAAACAACACCCCCCCCCAACCTGTTTAGTAAACTGAGGTAATGTAAGCAAATTCCTATTTATTTTGAAAGTGAGAGCCATCTAGTGGTAACAACGTTCTATCAAATTGAAACGCTGAAGGGAACTGGCAGTCTAAAATATAGATAAAGAGTCAGGAGCTGCAAAAGGATAACTACATTGGTCATAAATAATACCATAAAGAAAGACTTTTAAAAATACCTGCATGTATTATTTCTGTAATCTAAACAAAGTGAAAACAGAAAGCGTAATACAGCATGACAGGTATGTATTAAGGAAAATGAAATGTCATGACAAAAAAAATAACCCTCTAACCCAGCAAGGTGCTCATGCCAAGCTCTGCTTGTTCTTAAGAGTTTACATGTACACACACTCACAGTCCAGGAGCAAAGTATATATCAAATGGACATGAGCATTGTATATAGCAAGGGGAAATTGCGCATGCTAGAACTCACTAGTCTAAAATGCAAAACAGGAACTAGCCATAGAATTACAGAGAGGTCAAAAGTGAACAGCTCTGATGGATTCACTTCTACCACTGAAGCATATTCCAGTGTGTGTCTGAGATTTCCGGTACTGCTACAAAAAAATCAATGCTCATTTTTCATTAAAATTATTATTACTGAGCATCTAGTATAGAGCACGAAGTGGCTGCAGAAGAAAATTCTCAGCCCAGTTAGTACCTACAAGTAGTAGCTGCAATATCCAGTACAAATCTTTTTAAAATACGTAAGTATTAAGGGTCACATAGCCCAGCTCATACCTGTATATCTGCTCTCACTTCCTTCTCTGTATTCTCCTTGCCCAGTTTTCTACATCTTTTTTTTCCCTTTCTGGATTCACATATCTTACTAAAACTCTTTGCTGGCAAGTACAAATTTGTATCATCTGGTCTGCTTCTCAGATGTAGCCCTCATCTTCACATCTTCATCATCCCATCAGTACAAGCTGGGCTGAGCACTGGGTTAAAATTACTCCTTTTGGGTCTTTTTTTTTTTTTTTTTTTTTTTGCATTTTTAGTAAGCAGCAGAGAATAGAAAGGAAAAATAGACTTGTGTTACAGCTGGAGTTAGGACTTTCAGCTGTCTCTGATTTAGGCCTTCCCGTGAACATCAGCAGGCTCATTTTCACTTAAAGAGGCATCTCTTACTAATATTTAAAAAATAAAACAAACAAAAAAAGAGCAAGGCCTGCAAGCACATATTTTCTTTAAACCGTGACAATATTTCTGGGTTGCAGATCATAGTACTTTGTAATATTCAATAACGTAATTCCCTCCCTCTATCTTGTCCTAAATTATGTGTTGAGGATCATTACAGCTGAAACTATTTCTCACACATAAGCAAGGCTATAGCACAGCAGCCATGAGTATAAAACTAGCACTTACAGTAAAAACAGAATAAAAATATCCAAATGTGAAAATCCTTGTCAGTGACATAAATATGACAGCTTAACAGTGAAGGGGTAAATAAATGCAGAAGTTGATATAAATTTGCATGCTTGTTGTGTCATCTACAGGAAGAAGGATGTGTGTCCTTCTATGCTAGACTCCATCCTCCTATTAACATGCCCAAGTGTCAAGGCCAGTAAATGGGAATTGTTTTCTTTAGCTGCCACAAAGCCTGCCAAGTCACTTTGTGGCAATGCTTCAATTAATAATTTACCCATCCTTTACAGCTGATCAGGCAGACCCATGCAAATTCATGGCATGTGACAAGTTTTCCGAATGCATAATGAACGAGTGGACAAAGGAAGCTGACTGCCTTTGTAAACCTGGTTATGCCAGCCAAGACGGATTGCCCTGCCGGAGCCTGTGCGAGCTGGAACCGCATCTTTGTGTCAATGGTGGGAAATGTGAGTTAGTTCCAGGAAGAGGAGCTGTCTGCAGGTAAAGAGATGGTGAATTCTCTTAACATCCTCCTGATAATGTCTATCACATGATCAAGTTCAACAGCATAAACTAGGCTAATAAGCCAAAATCTCAACATTCAGATACCTAAAGTTACACTGCAATACCTTTCTAAATAGCCTCACCACAGCTAAATCCATTTCAGCCTGTTAGGACGCACAGAACACCATGACCTAGTTACTTTTTAGAAAAGTTACTTTTTAGAAATTTATTGGAAATTCAGCATCATTGGCAGAGATGACACACACAAAGCCATGCATTTCCAAATATATATGGGAAAAATGCAGTAGCACATTCATGGTTTGGATACTGATTATATAGTAGTATTTTAAGAAATTACATTTTCCTAAGATGTATTAAAATCTATATTCATATAAACACATCAATGAGGACTACTCTGATTCCAGACCACCCAATAAAGCACATTAGGGCTGAGGCTGCTATCAGGGCTTTCTGGGAAAGACTTGAAGATTAGCAGGTCCTCCTAACTGCAAATATATTCCCTAAGAATTTTCACACAAAATTATCTTAAGTCAATATTGAAAACTACACAGTACTTGAACATATTAATTCTGTTTTAAAGGATCAAGTTTCTTCTCACTTTAAGACTAGACAATCCAGAGCATTATGTGAAACTGTATATTCAGCGCACACACAGTAGCTGACCAGCCACATGTATCAGTATAAAACAAGTTAAAATTCTTGCATTTGTTTATTCTCTCTTAATATTGACTTGACTAGGCTAATGATAGGTCTTCTAGCTTAATGTCTATCTTAGGATTAATGTAAAAAAAATAAGACCACTGAGCAAATTATTCATACGATAATTTCACTGTAACAACAATACTGCCATAATCCATTTCCTTCAGTGGCCATCACAGAAAGATTAATAGAAGATTATATTGAATTCACCACAGTTACTGCCAAATTCCTGACTTGCAGAGTCACGCTAGGGTAGCTGAAGTATTTTGTACTAGGAATCAGCCTGTGAGCTACAAAGGTCCTCTTCAAACTTTACTGAGGTAGCAAGGGGTACAGCCTACTCCTCCAAGACTGATGCACTAAGGAAAATAAAACTTTTTCCTTTTAGAAAAGCCCTGACTTGATGTACAGTAATAACCAAACTATCATGTGGAATTACAAAAGGATTAAAAATAATGAGCAAAAATTTTAGTGAATTATAGCAAGTTACAAACTTACCCCCAGTCTCATCCTGACAGCTTGTGCAAACTTGTACAGTGAGAGAGAGAAAATTATGGCCGACTATTTGCCCTTGTTTTGTGGGTGAATTCACACAGCACCATCTTAGTTTTTGCACTAACTGGAAACCCTGTGTTCTCACATAAAGTGTGGCAGTCTTCCCTTGCTTTAAAGGGAGCTATTTATAGAATCATAGATTCATTAAGGTTGGAAAAAAACCCCAAGATCATAAAGTCCAACCTTTGACTGAACACCAGTGTGTCAACTAAACCATAGCAGTGAGTGCCACGCCCAGATGTTTCTTGAACACTTCTGGGGATGGTGACTTAACCACTTCCTTGCATAGTTCATGCCAATGCTTGACAACCCTTTCAGTGAAGACATTTTACCTGATGTCCAACCTGAACTTCCCCTGATTCAGCTTGAGGCCATTTCCTCTTGTTCTATCATGAGGAGTAGTGTCCCATCTATTTGTAGTAGAATTTTTATGTCAGGCCTTGCTACTCAGAGTGAAATCACCAGTACGCAGAATATAGGCTTCAAAGATATGTTCAGACATTACCTTAAAATACATCTGAACTTCTCAGGTTCTAAAACTCAAATATTATTTCAATTTCACCTGTGGGGTTAGAAACTTGTCAGAGATGTTTAAAACGCATGATTTCCCTAAAATTTGTAGGTTGACAAAGAATATACCAGTGTCTATTTAACACTCTCATGAATGTAAGAATATTATCTTTCCCTTATTATCAATCACATTATTTTCATGCAGATACATAGCAACTAATTGTAGTGGAAATAATGTGCTCATAATTAATTGCAGATTTTGTTTTCATTTTTTGTCTTCCTCTCCTTATTTTAGATGCCCTGTACGTAGACACCAGCTTTACCAAGGACAGCGCTGTGCCAAATTTGCTCCAGAACCCACACAACCCTTCATTTTTAAACCTCTCGTTCTTGGCTTACTAAGCCTTGCTTTTCTTTTCATCATTTTAATTATTAAGTTAAGAAGAAAATGCAAAAGAAACTCTAATTTGCAGTAAGCTGCTCACAATCTTTTTCTTCAAATTTCAAAATATTCCTTTTGTTTCTTTTGCAATTTAAAATCTTACCTAAACAAAAATGTTCTGCATTGTAGAAGGCCTACTCTCAGCAGCTGCAATTCAGAAAATGCTGTAAGGATTAATCCTGCTTTTGAACACGATGAACCCATATCTAGTTTTTGTCACACGGCTTGCAGTGTAAGTGCTTGTCTCAGTTCCTCAGAGATCACTGACCATGAAGCATTACACGAACTTGAAAACACAATTCAGCCTGGAGGTAAAATGCATGAAAATCCTTCTCTTACCCCTCAGCAAACAGCCCCACTTGAAATAACAGGTCCATCTTCAAGTATTAACTCCACAACTAAACCAAACTTGAACCTATTCTCTCGCTTGGCAACTTCAGAACTGAAAATACTAACGCATTCATTGCTTCCCACATTTACTGCTGTGTAGGTTTCATAACAGGACTACAGAACTGCTTTTCTTACAGCTCTCTTGCATGGCTCTGGTGGTCCATCCTATCTGAGTGCTTTTTGTGATTTAGTGAAATAATTAGTGGTTTGACATTTTGGTTTTTTCTTACTCTTGTAGGTCACCAGGCCAGTTTACAAAGCCAAGACTGACAAGTTAGTCCCTGAAATTCTTCGTTTCCAGCATCAGCCAGACAAAACCAAGGTTTGTGGAACTTTAAAAATTTTTTGTTTCCCATTTGTCAATATTACCAGGAAGCCTCTTTGTAGTAATTTTGTACAAAGAAAAACTCACATTTTTTGGATGCTTGATCTGACAACAATTTCTTCTTAAGTGTTTTTATGCAACAAAGTTATATTCTGTATAACCATGTGCTAATGTGGCAGTCACTGGAACACACGAAGGAAGAAGGAATATCTAAAATGACAAAGTAACACAAAATGCAAACCAAATGGGAGGAGCAATATAAAAATGTTAAAAATTAAAGATTATATAAAAATAACTTGAGCTAGGTTAAGCTACATAGATTTTGAACGAGTAGGAATTCTAATTTGAGCAGCATATTGCTCATACCTCAAATATTATTTCAAGTTCAAACTTCTTGTATCTTTGTGGGGGGAAAAAGTTGACAAAAATGAGAAAAGCTGAGTGAAAAATTTCTCTAAAATTGTCAGATTGTTTCTTACTTCTGATGTATCTGAGTATGCCCTCTCGAGAGGTAGAAAAAAAGCCTTCACTTTGCTGTTTTCATTTTTCTGAATCCCAGTCCAGTTAGGAACCAAAAGGTTTTGCTATAGTTGTTAGTACCCATTGTTATTGTGGGGAATATCAGTACAGGACTGCCCTGGCATTACCTGAATACTATGGGAGACAGGATACCACCTACATGAATCTTTGGCTCGTTACATGTTTATTGGTATGTAAATAAAGGAGCAAGTAATGATGCCATATAGGAAGATTATTTTCACTGATCTTCATCATACCCAGGTCTGGTCTCTTCAAGTACTCCAGGTCACAGTTATAGACTGAGGTGAAAATGGGGGGACTGGAATGCAGAGATGGAAATGGACAAAGCAGCGGGGAGCAGCACTTTGGAAAAGCTCAAGAATGAATTGGTTTCACTGCTTATATAAAACACAAGCACTGAAGTTTGCAATTTTACACCCATCTTAAAATGTGCCTGTGGGTAATTCAGACAACTAAATTTTCATACTACCTAAACTACTTAAAATTACTGCATAGAAAAGCACTAAATATTTTATTAAAGTAATAAAAGGGCACATCTGTGAAAGAAAATCAGACCTTGTCATCAAGACTATTTGAACTGTAAGAAGTATACAGACAAAGCTCTTCTCAAGATCTAGTTAAATAAATTAATTTAGTGGGAAGTTGGGAAGTCAGGCAACAAGAAAATTGAAATAGGTTCAAAAAATTAGGTGGCTTTTTTTCACTGTTACTTACATTCACAATGACTGTTTACATCACCCTTATGGTCAACACATTTTTAATAATTTAAAAAAGGCAATGGAGGGAAAAAAATTATGAAGAACAGCTTTCATGAGCTGAAACTAAGAGGACCACTTTGATATCACAATCTAAAAAGCTCCTTTCAGATTAGAATTTTTAAAACAGAAGATGGCACTTTTGAATATGAATTTTCTGGAGGACACAGATATCTAGGACTCATAGGCCAAACTGAGGATTCCAATAATTAAATTCTGTTTTGCTATACACAGTGAAAGCAGTGACAGCTTTTTAGGACATATTATCTACAATAAGTACAGCTCTGTATTTATGAAGGCATATTTGAAAATAGGCATAAAGTTCCAGCAGAAGCTAAAATAACCTTCAGTTCCTTTCTAAACATAAAAAATGTCTCCAGTTTATTTACAGAATCACTACATGGAAAATTATTGCAAAGCTTAGTTGTCAGAGGGGGGTTTGGCTGGGTAGGTTTTAGCCCAATTAGTAAATAGTCAAAAAACTAACAATCTTTAACACTTCCAGGGATGGGGCATCCACAAGTTCTCTGGACAATCTTTTCCAGTGCCTTGCCACCCTCACAGGAAATAATTTATTTACACCTAATCTAAACCCACTCTCTTTCAGTTTGAAGCCATTCCTCCTTTGTCCTGTCACTACATACCCTTGTAAAAAGTTCTCTGTCTTACCTGTAGGCCCCCTTCAGGTAATGGGAGGCCACTAGAAGGTCTCCCTGGACCCTTCTCTTCTCCAGGCTCAATTGCCCTTACAATGAACTAGACATTATCTCAACAGGTGTTAGTGTGACCTTCCCTATTAGCACTAGATACATAGTGTACATTTTCAAGTTAAACAATGTTTTTCAAACGTCTTACAAGACTTTCTCTTACAGGTATTCAAAAAAGAAGATCTGCATTATTTAAGGGTGGACTTCAGGATGATTATACACGTGAAAAAAATTCAAGGATTCCTAAAGATATAATGTTTTGGCTCTAAAATCAGGACACATTAAAAAAATTGTTTTACTGAAGAAAAGCAACATGACCAAGTTGAGCAGCTATTATACAGTGTCTAAAATTTACCTGGTAGGAAGTCATAATTGTTAAGATGCATGCATTAAGCATCCAGTGCTTACAGGTCTTAACGGTTTTATTTAAGAGCCGAGTGCTAGAAACAGATTTTGCTGAAACATGACATTTTTCAACATTTGTCAATGGAACTTCACCATATTTCCATACCCTTTTATTAACCTTCCTTACACACACTAATGTAAGTGGTGAACAGAAATACGAACTGTCATTGACCAAAGGACACATTAAAAGCATCCGGGAACTTCTTTATTCTCTCCCTACAATGCTCACATTGCAAATCACACACAAGTTGGAATTAATTTTTTTAAGGGTTTCTATGAACATTGTTTATACATATGTACATATACACTTAACTGCTTAATTTCTGGTGACAGTGAAACTATCAGATTATCCTAAGACTTCAAACTTTTTGCTGAGGCACAATACCTGGAGTTTCATCTTTTCAGAACAAGGTATTTACATTCACAAGCACCCTCCTGGTAAAAAGTAGATTAGAATTGCACATGATTGTGTACACTTTAAACTCAGTATGCACACAAATAATTTTGAGAAGTTACTGTCAGTTTTTGTAGAAGAAATCTAAGCAGACATCGGGTAGCCTTTAAGTATTTTGTAGGCTTATTAATTTATGCACTACAAATCCACAATCTTGATTCAAGTATGAGCATTATTTTACCTTGAGCATCTGTTTCTTGAGTATATCTATAATATTTATATCCTGCACCAGTGTTGTACAATATTCAGGCACTGTTTCCTGCTTGGTGCACACCAGAAGTCGTACTTACAGCTCAAACTGAGCTTTGACAAAGTTCATGACTATTCTGGATGACAGGTCCTCATTCAGATGTGAAACTTTTGTGTATTTGGGACAGCAGCTGATTTCAGCAACAATTCTTCTCTCTTCGTACCGCGCAGTTACCACAGCAAAGACTGAACTTTAGTTTACCTTATTATGTACACTCAGAAGAACTGTTTACGAATTCCAAACAACTAACTGCACGGATTTGCCTGCAAAACCACCGAAACTGGTGATAGTGTACGAATGAAGGCAAAGCACCAAGAATACAAGGTTGAGTTTCTACAGCTGAAATAGTATTTTTACTTACTTTATTTAAGTAGAAAAAAAAATAAAGAAGAAACCTAAGATGTGGTTTTACCCAGTAACACTTCAGAATAAAACTACTTTAAAAATATTTCTTGCAGGGCACTGGAAGTCATCCCTGCCAACAAATGTTAGCTTTTCATTATTGCTCATGTAAGCTAAGAATACATTAAGAATGCTGATAGCATTCCATCTTTTTTCCATTACAAATGTATTTTTGTATGTGTTTAGTGTATTTCAAGTCATACTAGTTATCACTAGCCAGATTAAAAAGTAAGTAGTTTTAAAATGTGTCTTTTAATAATGATTATTCATGATTGTATTTATCACTCTCAACTATTAATTACCAAATATATTTGCTGGACGTAAGCCTTTTGTATTTCAATAAAACATAATAAAACTATTTACTTGAAAATTTCACTGGGAATTGAACTGGTACTTAATCTCAAACTAAAACATATCACATTACCTTAAAACGGATGTAAAATTACAGCTGGAGATAAAAGCCATAAGGAAAGTGAAACAAAATTACATTTCCTAGATAACAAAGCCCAAATTACTTGAATCTTTTTATGTTAAAAAACTACCACTCTGATCTGGTCCATAAGACAAGAAAGTTTTCTAAGACTCTTTTTAAGGGGAAAACAAACAAGCAAAACCCACAAAACTTCTCCATCTCAGACATAAAGTTTCCCCTGCAGCATACAAACTCAAAGCAGTAGAATTGTTTTCACTAGTCACTGACTGTCATGAAAAATGAAACATATGCAAAGAATACACAGCATAGCAAATTATAGATACATGGAAAGTGATAGCAATAAATGTTAAAAAAATAGTAATAAAAGTAAAGATATTTGTTTTAATAAATACTGAGAAATTAAGGATGAAACTTAAAAGTAAAAAAATCAGAATTTTTTAATATCAGAATGTCATTTTGGAGAAACACCTTAGAAAGTAAAGACAAAACCTTCACTAAAGTAAAACTTTGAAAAGTAAGCATCAAAAACATCTGACAGAAAAGCAGCAGGGAGTTCCAGCACAGAAATCCTTTTACCCTTCTCATAACTTAATTTACCCTTATTTATTATGCTTTAAATCTTCAAAGACAAAATGGTAAGAAGATACAAGTGAGATTTCAACATGGAATGTGTTTATTTTTTATTTTTAATTTTCAGTACAGTATTAGGAGGTCATTTAAAAACTTTAAATAAAGATTTTTGAGAAAAACCCAAAGGATTAAACTAAGTTAAGAAAAACAATCTTCTCAGTGGATGAAAGATAAGTATTTAACGACGTTATGATCTTCAAAGTAGCATTCTTAAGAAAATGGATATTTCAGGGATACCTAGTCAGGAATGTAGCCTAGTGTGGTGATTCTCTTCCTCTCCTTTGTTTTGTGGACTGCTTCAGGCAGATCTCAACTATAGCAAACAGGTTCACTGATAGGCAGGAAGAATTTATTTTTTTAAAAAAATCAAACACAGAGAGAACCAGCCAATGTGCTTTAAAAAACAAACTAAATTTTTCTCTATAACCACAGATCAGAAGGGCATTAGGTCATACTACAGTCGAACTCCCTCTCTCCCTTTTTTTTTATTTCCTCTCCAAATCAACCAATTGTATATTTATCTGACACAGTAAATGGGATCACAGAAATAATTTGTAAGCAAATGAACATTGCTTGACATGTAAGAAAAAATAAAATAGTCTGAAACTAACTGAAAATTAATTTTGTTGCACAGAAAGATCAGTAAAACTAAGAGCAGATGCTGCTTTTGGTGCAGAGAAAGAAAAATAATAATAACAATAATAAAAAAAAAGCAGCCTGCTACTGTGCAAACTAGGATTTCTGGAATGTATCTTCAGCTTGCCTCAGTCATACTTCTGGAGTACTGCAGAGAGGTGGGAATATCTCATTTGAGAACGCCCAACCACCAGACCCTCTTCCACTAATTTTAAAGTCCATTTTATTTTCCCAATAGCTATATTTTTTAGTCATTTAGTTAACAAAAATTCCCACACACCCCATTCTGAAGAACAAATTTTCTTTCTGATGCCAGTCAAGGTAATCCTAGCATAATCAAAGGTACAGATTGGAAAAATTCAGTTAATTTTATTCATTTTAAGTTCCCCACAGGTATGTTTACACACATATTTACTGAAATATTTAAGCTTATATATGTGTATAAACAGACACACACTTAAGTAATGAGGTTCCTTGCTTACTATGTTCAGTCTCATAAGATCCATGGTTTTATATATATACACACACACACACATATATATATACACACATACACTGGGACTGAACATGTTAAGTCAAGCAGCTAAATCCTGACAGTAATAAACACAGGTCAGTTCAATGATTTTCCTTCTGGGATCACGTGAGCGAGCACAGCTTCCTGCAGTGTTAAATTTCCAGAGACTGGAAGTTGTGAAACTTCGGTTCCAATGCAGTAACACATTAAACCAGTAACCTAAATTTCCTAAGCTGCACCTTTAAATTCATGCAACAGTGTACAGGTTTGCACACAACTTGCTAGCCAGCAGTCTGATGCACCTCTGCTTTCATCTTCCAGACAAATTATAGTTTTAGTGAAGAGTTTGGGTAAAATTAAAACATTTCCTCGTTTGCAAGAGGCTGAGTGGGTATGTAGCAGAAGCTGAGATTCCCTGATGCAGTGGGTCTGTACAGAGTTAACTACTACTGAATATCTCCACAAGTATTATAGTAAGGAGTGTATTTATAACAACAAGCAGACTGTGGCATACAACCACAGTCTAAGGTCAGCATCAGGAGCTCTCTCTGTGCTACAGAACTGTACCTCTTGAAAATTATTAAGTATATTTATGCATTAGAAAATTAACATTTCCAAGAGGTTTCAAACTGAGTAAAGACTGAGGAAATCTTCTTATAGTGTAAACAAAATTTGTCACTTAAAAGAGCAAGACTTCATTTTTGAATCAGGTTAAATAAGTAATTGGACATCAAACTACTTATATTTTGAATTCCTATTAGAGAGATAATAAATAGTCAAGTTTAATTTGTTGAAATAATGGCCAGCATAGTAAAACAATGTTCACGTAAGTGAAAGAGATGCATCTTAAAACTGTATGAAATTAACAATTCCCACCCAAAAAAACTCCCAAAACAAACTGCTTAATAAGGGAACTGTTACAAGCTATGAAACTTGACAGAAGAGATTATGACAAAGCTCAGAGTAGTGTCCAAATTGCTATGGTATTTCAGTATACTAAAATTTGTAGCTATTTAATTAGCACATAGTATTAAGATGATATCAGCATTATGTCATTAGACCAATGTTTTACACGCTCTAACGAAAGGTAGAGACCTTGTATATCTTGTTACAATTAAAATAAACACAATGTCTGAGGCTCAGGCCTCAATATTCAGTTAAGTTATACTGACATAAAAAAGCTGAACGTATTTCCCTTATCCTATCCTTAATCTTATATACCTCCAGATACAAGGCTTGGACAATTTTGCATAATATTTTGAAATTACACTACCTGGCTAAACAAACTGTCCAAGAGTTCCTAATGGAAATGCGGTCAGAAAAATAAGTCTAAACCAAATTTCTACTGAAACAGAAAAAAGAGAAAGAAAGTAAGAAGTGGTATAAGCCCTAATGAGCAGTACATTCTTTGAGGACCTCCAATATTACACTATATTGATACATATGAATGCTCTTCTGAGAATGTACAGAAAACCATTTCTCTTAAACCAAGACAGAGAATGGATTAAATAGGAATTTATGGGTCTCAAGTTTAGGAGAATTTCCCATCAGGTTCTGAAAAAAAAAAACAACTAAATACAGACACTAACCAGTTTGCAAATCAGGACATAAAATGTCTCAGATTATATAAAAGTATACTCCAACTTCTCCGTAACAGAAGTCAAAGCTAAGGCCTCACAATTCCAGTTATTAGAAATAGCATATCCTCTTTACTAGACCACTTGAAGCCAACTATTCAGTGTTTTGAAGCAGGAATTTTATAAAAAGGTGGTTGCAATGCAGTTCTTTGTAATATGTACCCGAGTAAAGACAGATTGCTTAGAAGTGTTAAGAGTTCTAACAGAAACTGTTAAAGAAAATAAAACATATAAACAAAATGCAACAAACTACACTGACTGAAGTTTCTTCAAGGTCCTCATACCTAGTAAAGTTCACTACAGAAATTAAACATCATAAAGTACAAATTAACAAACCATGTGATTAATAAAACCTGTTCACTTTATATTAAACATCTCTAATATGATTATAGAATGTTTACGTCCTCTGTTGCCCAGAGGAACTCTTCCCTTTGTATCACAGGCAAGGGTTCTCATCTCGAACACTACTGTGCAAAATGCCAATTTATTTCAACAGGTTCTGCAGCATCGCCGTAGCGTACGTAGGACGAGCTTGTCTGCTTGCAATTGCATTTTGAAGATATTGGATACCTCCACAGCGCTCCCAAATTTCTTCAAACTGTCTCGGCAAAATTTCAGCACCTCGCTTTCGGGTTAACCCAGTCTCTTCAAGATTAAGCTCACACATATCCATATCATCCTTACCTGAAATGGTAAAGGGAAAAATAAAACATCATTCAAAAGTCCCATAAAACAGATTAGATCTTTGTTAATTAGAGTCCATCTCTGAAGCTCTGGTTTGTTAAAAGGTTTCAGAGCTTATGGGGAAATAAGTTGTCAGATAAATATTTTTTGGTTTGGTTTTTTTGTTACACAGAGCACCACAAAGGTATCACAATAAACTAGTATCACATGTTGCAATTGACAAAGTTGTGCTTAAAAAGTGAGCAAAAAAGAACAAAGGAAAGAAGTGAAAAGATCAGCATCTTGATATATTCTCCTGAAATCCATTACAGGCTGACAACTGCATTTGTTTTATATATACTTTCAGTTTTAGGCCATTTCACAGCAAACTGCTGTTACTATTTGTTTAAATGTAGCAAAGCAACTAAGAACTCCAGACTTTTGACCAACTAATCTGTCAGCCTCCCATGCAAAACAAACAGCATTTACCAAATGGGACTAACGTAGGGAATCCAACAAAATGATGGGTGCAGTTCAAACACTAAATTATAATCTTATTTTTAATAAGTGATCCATTGAATGTGGTACTCAGGACAGCAGTGCTACTTTTAGCTATGGGCTTTGACACTGAATAGTAACAGTTGGTGTAAGAAATTCTATTAAAAATAATTTGCAGGAAACAAACTTCTGTTGGTAGTAAGGTATAACTGAAGAGAAACAAATTGGTTATAGACTTTTCCTTGGTCTCTAAGTTAAATACAAAAACACAGAACCATAAACAGCATTTCTCCAGTGTTTCTCCCCCCCCATTTCATTATCCTCCAGAAAAGCTGGATATATTTCACCACCAGACAAATCTCTACTGTCCATTGCAATATTTAGTTTTTATTTTAGACATTTAAGATTAAAAAGCTATTCTCCCACATTAGGTAGCATAAATAGGGTAAAAGCATCAGCTTGCTATTAGCTTCATATTATGGAAATACAATATAACATATGCACAAGTTGTTGTGATACAAACTGGTTGTAATTTTTCAAAGCTAACTAAAAACCAATACAACGATGAGTAGAACCTTCCCAGATAAATTGTGATGTTTTATCTTCATGCTGTCTCCAGTTCAGAATAATCAGAGGGCACTTAATAAAAACATTTACATCGGAACTCCCACTCTATCTCTGACTTCCCAAATCGAAGCATGTGTACAAGTAGAACATGTGGCCAAATGGTATTCTGAAAAGTTTGGCCATTAAGAACAGTCCCAAATCCTCAAATTCTGCCCAGATAAGAACTGCTGAAGGAAAAAAAAAAAAAAGAAGATACAACTTGGGAAACTTGTATCCTCAGTCTCTTTTCCTAAAGTAACTTACCAACTCTGAACCTTTTCAAAGTTTTGAATTTTGCTTTCAATACCAACCCGCTACAAGGAGAATGGGTGCCTTGTCAGGATGAAGTTCCATTTGTCGAGCAATCCATGGCCCATCAAAATGTGCATACCACCAACCCTTCTTCTTGTTCTGGGGGTCTTTGTACTGGTCCGCGGGGCGGATGAAGGGAATGCGGAAGTAACGCTGTTGTCTGTTCATTTCAATCTCTTGCTGTCTGCTCGGTAGCTGGGCTGTTGGGTTCTGTTGTGCTATCATACAGAAGAGAGCCCCAAAAATAAGCAAATAAAAAATTATTAGAGAACAAGAAAGCCATATTACTACTTGCTTGATTAATCAGCAAATCTAAAAAAAAAAAAAAAATAAAACCAAAACAACTAACCAAACAAGAAAACAAACTAAACCCCCAAAACCCAAGAGATTCTCTCTAATTCAAGGTCAGCTGAAGTCTCATCAAACCTAAAAAGTACTTCCATCTCATATAATGTGCGTTCTGTTAATCACGACAGCTACAACACGTCAGGAAAGGCTCATGTTGATTATTTTATCTATGTGTTGCTTAATGGAATGTTTAGACAAAACAAAGCAAGTAAAATAATGCACTCTGCTTTAAATCAATATTTAAAGTAAAACTTCCCATATAAAACGTCTTACAAACCAGAAACATTCATCAGTAACTGCTTTAGTTCTGTCAATCTCTTTGTAAAACAAGAACACGGTGTAAAGCATTTAAAGTTACAAAACACAAAACATCACTTGAAGATTTTTGACAGTCAACACAGAAAGGTGTATAATATTGTTAGAAATTACTAATTTGTTAATAGAAATGTTGACAACAAATACTGTTTATCACAAAGCTGCCACCAAACATAACTTTCTGCCTAGATTTCTGTGTGCTAAACTCCGGCATCAGAACTACTTTATTCTTTATTTCAGACCATTAAGATCAACCAAGCAAACTTCTAAAGGGGACGGAGTTATATGAAGTTTTTTGAAGCTTCATATATATTTTTGGTAAATATTTTCTATATGCATTTTTAGACTCTCTGAGTTCCACACATTTCAGTTTCCAGAGAGAAACTTTCTTTAAAATGAAAGCTCTCTGTATGTTAATTGATCAATTGATCCAACTTCCTGATGGTATGTACACACTATCATAATTAGTTTTAAATAGTAAATGCTCTTACAAGGAAGATCCTTTCCTATACTAACTGCCTCCTGCAAAAATTTGGTACTGAACTTGTTTTAGTGGTTTACACCACCACTGTTACATATACCCTGTTTAAGAAACTTTGAAAGTGGATCCGTGCCATCTCTACAAAAGAGAGCCAGTATTAACAGTTGCATGTTTCAGCATAAAGAGTAAAATTAGAAGTGAATTCCATTTTTGTTCAGTGTCTACTGAGCAGCAAAGATAATTTCTGAGCTAATATTTAATATGAAAAACAACAATCACTTTTAATAATGTATTTTTACAATCATGAATAAGATTAATATAGACCAGCAACTGCAACTTGAAATTTCTTCTGCTTTGATTCAAGCAAAAATAGTTATTCTGAGCCTGAAGAGGAGAACCTTAAAAAAACCCCATGTGTTATACATAACATATACCCTTTTTTCCCCCATGTCTGCATAAACAAAGAGAAGAAGAAAACCAGTATTTTAACAGGTGAATGCTACTTTTTTACATCAACTCTGATAAAACATGTACCTTACAGGAAGACACAGTTTATAGGAAATTAATACTATTTTCTACAAATTGTCTGAACACCTATCTGAGCAGATCAGTGCTTTAGTATTGTCAAATACTTTTTGCACTGCAATAATAATTGCTAAGGCTCCTTTCTACCCCTGTGCATATCTAAATCCAAGAGCAAATCTAGAGGACAGGAACACTAAGCAGCCAATATAGCCTCTGTTTCTCAGTGCTATGGAATTGAATTTCTTTATTCAGAAGAAACCATCACCTGAATGTTAGTTTGTGTGCTAGGAAAATAGATGTTATATTAAACTGATTACAGAGTTTTGCTACAACAAAAAGCCATATGCTGACAGTGAAAAAATATTAGAACAAACAAGTTATTTTGTAGGGGGTATGGAAAAAATGGGAGATTATATCTTCAAATAATCCACATAAAAAGGTTATTTCATTCTCCCTTCCCACTACCGCTCAAATGGGTAGGATTTCATGAAGACAAGTACATTTGTAAATTACTAGAATAATGTATAATTATCATCAAATGAATAAAATTGCCAAATTGTAAAATAGATTATTCTCACAATTAAATTCTATGTACAAGTGTAGCAAAACACTGGATTAATTAATGTTAGTATCAAGCTGTCAAGTCTTCCTATTCTTCAAGGTTAGCTTAAATAACCATCTCCCCACTTACTTGAGTTGCTCAAAAATGGTGCAAAATCTGTGAACAAATATTACATGTTGAACAAAACATAAAAGTGCTGATCCTTTAAAAGTTACTGTTTCATTACCTCAACATTTTTCACCACTGCTGATGATACACAACTGGGAATTCTAGTTGCAAAATAAACACAGATACTAAGTATTTCTATTAATTTTGTACCTCTATTTTCATCAGAATTTAATCTTGAAATTTATTACTTCTATAATTTGTGATGTCAGTCACAAAAACTCAGTCGTATACATGCTAAGCACAAATTGCTGTGACAAATCCACTAGTTAATTAATGTAGTACTTTTCATTTTTGATATTTCTGCTACAAAAAATTTTCCAAACCTCTGGAATACCGAATCTGCCTATTCCAATAATAATATACAAACCAGTGTTTAGCTTCTATACTGAATGTATTTATTTAATTAAAGGATACCTGTAAAATTGTATTACATCAATGAAGATATGGAAAGAAGAAACTGCATCATTTGAAGTACACATCTACTGACACCAGAAAGTCTTTTAGCTTTAGCACCCAGGAAATCAGAAACCCTTCTTACTACCTGCTCAGATCACTATAATACATAGATGTGAAATGCCCATGTAGTATAATTATTTGGAATAGGAAGAATCATTCTGACATTAAGAGTCTCTATAGGTTGCCATCAATTTCTTCTGAACCACAATGTTCTTTTCTTCACAAATATGATGCCGTATATTTCAAGAAAAGTAAAAAAATGCAATGAGAACCACTGATAAGAATGCTGTAAATGTCTGAATACATGGGATGAGAACATGAGTACTCCAAGCTTTGTGTGCACAAATCCAAAGATTTTCTGCTCTTTGATACTTCCCATCAGCAACACTGTGCATGAATATGTATTTTATCCATTTAGCTCCACAGAGAACTTGTGAACTCAAACTCAAAGCAATTTACCGCTTTGCAGAAGTGCTTCAAGTGCCTTTTCCTGCCTTTTCAGTCATTAGCTTTCTTAAGCACTTAAAACCACATTATGGGCACAGTCACAAGGACCCATTCTTTAGTAATATCTTCTCCAGGGGTTCAGATTTCACTTGCCATATATCTGTACCGAAGTTCCCCGAAAACCTCAAATTCTCAAGCAATGCACACTCAGTAAATGAATCAAGGGGAAGGAGACAACTTCGTATATGAACTGAGAGAAAGTAGGGCACCTGAGATCTTTATCCTCCATGTCCCAGGACAATGCTCTAATCTCAGGCTAAGGGGACTCTGGGGACAGCACTTTCTCTCCATCTTCCCTTTCCTCTGCCTCTTGCTTCAACTGTATGGCAGGAACACAATCCATTCTGCAAATGGCACTCCAGAAATTGGGCACGGAATTTTCAGTCTGGCAGTATTAAACATGGCAATTCCTACACTTTCTTGATGAGCTTGAAAGGTAGTCACTTATTCTCATTAGTACATTGCTTTGACAATAAACATGCATCTGTGAAATCAGCAGAATGAAGGACTAATAGGAAAGCAGGGACTACACAAAATCCCTTAAGCAAAAATTGCAATATCAGCACTCACAGAATTTTTTGAAAAGAGAATGTAAGCTAATGTACGTAAGGCTTACCATGATGTAAATGATAAATCAGTACCTTTTAAAAGTATCTATATTTATAACTAAATAGCTATATATTATGAAATAATAAAGTAGCACAGCAATGAACACTTAGCAAAAATGCCTATATCAAGAACGAATTTTAACAGATGTGACTTGGATGCAAGAAAAGCTTTCAGGGAGAGCTATTCAACACAGTTATCTGGGTCTATTAAAGTATTTTAATTTCTGCAAAGTATTTGCCAGTTTCAATCTTTTCAAAGTAGCTACCTTAAATAGACATAAAAATACTCTTAAAACCCCCAATAATTTCCTTCAACCTAGCAAACTCAAAATTGATTCTAGAAATGTTTTCTTTAGAATACGGTCACAAAAGTGATTATAAACACAAAATTATCTCTCCTCACCATAGTCTGTGACTGATTTGGGAGCACGTTGTTCTGTTTCTGCATTGCGTTTCTTATTCTTGGATTTCCAAGCATGATACACCTTTAGCCTTCGGTGGAACTCTTCTCTGCAAGCTGCCAACAGTTCAATATCTATCCCAAAAATGAGGAGGGAAGGGATGAGTGAGAAAAATCAGAAAAATTATTTATTAAATGCTTTTTTATATTGATAGGTATATAATTTGAGATCAAGTTGTAACACTAATACGCTAAAATGTAATATAATAAATTTCATTATCTGCAGCACAGGGTCTGTATTTTATGGCCCAGAAATTACCTCAGAATTCTATGTATCCTTTCCTTTAGAGTAAAGGCAATCCCTAAATCAGCTTTGTACTGGGGGATTTGGAGCAGTGAAATGTGACAAAACTCTTAGTTCACTAAATTTGCCAGTTGACACTATCACAAGACAAGCAGTACAGAAACATAAAATTTCACTGCTGAACTTTATTTCTGCAACTGTAAAAAAGAAAACCAGCAATATGACTGCTCATATCTAGGTATATATACTTGCATATTTTCATTTTGCTGAATTTCATTATACAAAGAGATTGAATGATCTCAAGGTTCTTTCCTTAGTCATCTAAGAGTACCCAAACCAGCTTCACTAGGGATGAACACATGTGAGCACCAGGTATTACTGCAGCACCTAGTCAGGTGAAAACATTGCTCCAGGCTTGCATGTGTAAAAACAGCATAAGAGAATGGATTTGTTTCCAATTTCTATTCAGGGAAAAATAGAAGGATCTTAAATCAGAAGTTAACCAACTGCTTTCAATGAGAAACAGGAAGAAACAGTAGTATCTAATAAAGGAATAATTCTTATCTGTTTCTATCTTCAGACTGGGGGAAAAGTAATTAATGCCCCAACTGTGAGCTTCCCAAAAGAAGATGGAAAAATTAACAAACAATCTGAATATCCAAGACAGAAAATATTTTATGCTGTGCTTTACATGACATATTTGCTTTCTTTGTGATCTGATGACAGCAAGAAGTGATAGCGAATGATTTCTTAGAACACACAAATTCCAGGTAAAGCACAATAACTATTATTCCCTTTGTGGGAATACAAAAATCTGAGACAATTTATTTAAGAAATTATAATACATATTTCATGGTCCAAGAGTTTACTATCATAAATATATAATCACTAAAAGAGGAAAAAAAGAAATTGTTTCCTTAATATGTAAACAGCTTCATTTATTGCTGCTTTTGGGGTAACAGAATTTTTTAAATTAATTTGTTATTAATTCAAACCTGAATAAAGTTTTTATCAGTGTTATAGGAAGAAAGTAACATGCAACTGCAACTTGACCTCTTTCTCAAATCAGAAAATATTCCACTTACCACAGGATGTATTGATTGTATCGCGAAGCTCTGCATATTTCCACTTACTGAGATCATGCTTCTTAGTACCAGCAGCAGCTTTTGTGGCTTGCACTGCAGGACCCCTAAGATCATTTAAAAAATATATATGTATTTTTTCAAGTATTAAACAGGAACTGTTGTAAGAGATCCCATGATCAACACTGCATCACTCTTATTGCCACAAAAATCAGTAGCAAACAGACTGAATTTAAAGGCAAAATACCACATTATTTTCAAGATGTTCATATTATTAAGAGAAAATTAAAACATATTTTATGTCCAAAAATCACATAGTCATCTGACAGGCCTCCTAGAAATTAAAAGGAATTGTCATTAATAGTGCTTATATGTGAAAAGGTGCATGTTCTATCTCTGTGTATCTCATCCCATGCTGATGTGCATTTTACTTAGTACTAGCCAAGATGCAGAAAAGAGAAAACAAAGAATAGCCATAGATATTTTTAGTTCCATTCAAAAAACAGACAAGAAAAAATATTTCTGAAGTAGAACAAGGAGAAGGAAGAAAAGGCACTTCCTCTGCTCTTTAAAACTGGATTAGGACAAAATCCTTGTTCCAAAAGTTGATGAAATATTCTGCGTCTTTAAAAAAAGCCTAATTTGAGAGAAGAAATCAAATTATTTCTATATTAATTGTATAATGGCTGTCTGAGAACAGTAACATTTATTTGGGAAGGATATGAGTCCTCAAGAAATATCAAGGTAAAGAATACCACACAGAAGAAAGGTTGATTAGTATAGAGTCATCCAAACCCAGTTTTTTCAAAGGCCAAAGGTATTCATCATGTAGGTAATATACAAGAAAGTCAACAGCAAATACAAGTGAGAAATTATTACTAAAATCTCCATGATCTTTAAAAGTGCGTACAAGGTTTCCATGTACAAAACAAACACTACATGTAAAGATAAACTTGAATTTTATTTTTTTTCCATAAATATGGTATGGATAAGAAGTAGAAGAACCCTCCCTTAGGAATGGCAAACCTCCCATGGATTATTTGCATATAAAAGGAGTTCAAAACACTCCAACGTTCAGTGATGATCAGCACACTTGAACAGTAAGAAATTCAAAAACACACACATGATTTTACCAACCTCCACTAACACTCATGACTAAGAACAGAAAGCAAATTGAATTATCTTTTGAGATCTGAGAGGATTTGTTCAGAAGAAACTAGATCTTTAGCAGGATAGCAGAATTCTTGATGCAATGTCATATTAAAAAATCACAGGAGATAAAACCAGAAGAAAACAAGCCTTTTCATTTGAAGGTCTGTTTGTGCAATAACATCTTTGTGGGACTGGTACATTATTACAGTAAGTATAATCCAGTGAATACTATTTTAACATTTATTTTTCCATAAAGCCCTCGTGGTACTCTGAACCTTGACGTTTATTTTTCCCTCTTTAATTAACAGGTTATAAACACCTATTATAACCTGAAAAATTTCTTTATGCACATACATCAGTTTTGAAAGCAGAGATAACAAATGCAATTTAAGTTCATAGAATAAAACAATCTGTTTAACTAAATGTTCTTCTTAACTGCACCATCTCTTCAATATAATTAAAACTAGTTTTATTGTAGTGTCAGTTTAATAATGCCCCTACTCATACTACTAATCTGACTCAACAAACAGCTTCCAGTTATAGTACATGAGAATTCTGACATAAAAAATTAGCTCTGACTTAGCACTACTCATAAGTGTAAAACAAATAACTGGACAAACTCCTTCAAAATATATATTTTAATATTTTGTTATTGTTGGCATACCTGTAGGACATTAAAGGATTGCTGCTAAATATTTTCCACTGCCTAGAGTCTAAACTTCTTGAACCTAATTTAACAAATCCTAAGGATTTTCCTTATTTAGCAACACTACCCACCACTTCAAGAGTTTGCTACATAATTTAGAGCAGCAGAACTAGGCTATACAATCTCTGGTTAAACTAGTAATCTTTAAGAATCCTAATCCAATTGAATGGCTTAGTCTTTCTATTGCAGTACTACTCTGCACTCTGCAGATCAGTCTTTTGTTTTCTACATGACTTTCAGCATAGCAGTCTGGCAATAAGAGGAGCATCACACCTGACAATCACTGCTCAGTCCAAGAGTTATGTATTGTAAACAATATTTTCAGACTTTAAAAATAAAAAAAAATTTAAAAAAATCAGTCTCAAGTTAAAAGTTTCCAGTGTATGAAAAGTGAGAAAAATTCAGTTTAACAAGTATGCAGAAAGAAGTATTGCATTTTGAATTCAACCACAACACAGAGCTTCTGATTTTGCCCTGAAGTTTTGTCATATTTTTGTACATTAAAAATTGGCCATTGTGAATGGAACTATGTCAATATATGCAATGCAATCTGGCCATTTCAATTTGCATACTAACTTAATTACACACAACATGGTTTATTCCTTTTCTTGAAATACCGCTGCAAGAAACAAATTTATTTAACAGCTGCATTTCCAATTATCAATGCTACAAATGGAAAACTCATCAATCACATGAAATCGATCATCTTCAGACTATATAAATACAGCTTAGTAGCTTGTTTAACAACTGCCTAACTTTTAAAAACTCTGAACAATTTTGCTTCTTATGTAAGCTTCAGAAAATGAATGTCAAAGGTAATTTCCATCCTCAAGTTGCATAAAACACTTTTTAATTACTCACTAATATGGAGGACATTATAACAAATTCTTTGAATGGAGAATTAGTATTCTAGCACCAGCTAGTGTGAGACTGTTCCAGCAGAATTGTATTCAGACCTCAACCAGTGTTCTCCTTTCCTTCTGCATTGTGCACAAAATCCTGCATTAGCATTCAAGAAATCTCAGAAGGGCCTTTTGTTTAGATGTTTTAAGAGGCATTTTAATATGCTCTTAACATGGTAATTTTAAAAACTGCTTTTATTTGAAATTAATTATATTTAGAATATTTTCTTATTAAAAGCATCAACAATTACGTTGACATAACTAACTTCATTAACTCTGTGTTGAATTTGTAGAAATATGCCTTTGAAAGAGGTGGAGCCCAGTGCTTTATTATCACAAAGGTGAAAAGAGAAGAAAGCTGGAAAAACATTAACAAAATTACACAAAATATCAGGGTACGTGAACTATACTTTTTTTTTAATATAATCAATAAAAATCGTAGAAAAATAATTGTTGAAATAAAGGTGGTGATAGTGTAAATTTATCGGAAAGACATAATTTACTTATCTGTTTATCACTTGAAAAAACCCAGATTGCATTATTTTTAATTTCATAATAATTCAACCCATTTCATGTGTGATTTGTTTCTATAAAATGATTGATTCATTTCGTGTCGTCCTCTCACCTACCTAGACAATATTTCTGACATTTCTGTGGCCATTTGTTCCCTATAAGAAAATTGATAAATGATCATAAACCAAATGTACTCATATAAAACAAGCCTTTTTAACTGTGAAAGGCTCTTGCCAATCAAACTGAAGTTAAATAAAGTGCACGGAAAACGGCTACTTAATTTAGATTATTTCCATTTACATATATATATATATGCACACACAGAGTCCTGATTTTGTAAAGAGCATAATATTATTAAAGTATTTATTAGACATAAGCAAAGTAGTGAATATAAGGTATTAATGATTTAGAGGTTACAGAAGCATGTTAACAAAGATTATTATGTAGTATTAGTATACAAGAGCACAATATCAATTTCTTTTCAATTAATTAGTAGGGGAGTTTTTTCTATTAGAGCATGCAAATGCAAAAAAATGCCATACGCAGTCATTTGTGGCTTTCTTCCATTGGCTCTGCAAATAGAAGATATATGTTAGATAGACTACTTCCCAGTTAACTTTCTAATAATCTGAAGTGGGAAAAGGTGGGTCATAGTATTTCCTGCTCTTTCACATCTTATCTTTTTTTTTTTTTTTTTAACTGAGAAACAGGATTTTTTCCCCCTCCTCATTTAATCACAAGTTAAATTATAATCAGGAAAAAATGCACAGCTGAAAACTTCCCCCACCATTTCAAAATCAGAGATTTTGAGCCATGCTACTGATACATTTCTTTCTTGGATAAGCATATCACAAGAAATAACAACAATCCTCGTGCAGCTTCTCTGGGAACAGGACAGATGCTTCTTCATGCAAGCTGCGAAAAGACTCTGAGTTTTAACTGCCATACAAGAAACCTACAGTGTGCTACATATGTAGCACCAAATATGCTACAAATTAAAATTTTTTTGGGTTGTTCCAACTCAACACACAGAACAGATAGTCTAGCAACACTTTCTCTGTGACTAGCTTCTTTTGGTGTAATATGCTATACTGTATCTTTCACTAAGTCACATAAATTAAAAACATTACACAGTTGAATGCAAATATCTATTATTTAACTTATTTTTTACTTAAGTGTTAAGTACTGCTGTTAATTTACCCCTAGGTGCCATAAAACCCTTATTACACATCCTTTTAAACTATGGATGAGTAATAAAATTGGATGAAGCTAGAAGTCCAGCATATCCCACACAGAATAAGCACAAATAAAAATGCTGGATCTACTGCCAGAAAAGTAACTTTTCTTCTTTGACAGAAGCCAACAAATATATTTTTTAAAGGAACTGCTAATACTTATGTACTTTTAAATATCTATAAAAACTAATGATGAATGCTGCAAGGTATTGGGTAGCAAAGAACAAAGTAGAGGCTACTCATTTTCAAATATGACAACATACAGGTACCACATGTTGCTTAAAAATAAGCATATAAAATCACCTTGTTCTTACTCTTTTCACTCCACAGGTAGCACCATACAAGAGAAAATACCCTTTTATTCATACCAATGTGCAAGTATGAAAAGATTTTTTACAAAATCGTGTGAAAACAGCATAGAACGAGTATACTACATGAATTTAGTATGAAGGGATACATGCCTTATCTTACTACAGCAGAACTTTAACAGAAAAGGTTGCTTTTAGTGTATCATATGTAATGTGCAAGTCTCAAATGCAGAAGATGGCTTAATGGAACTTCCTCAGACTCTAGTAAAATTTTGATTGGTATCAATAAGTTCTGAGAATTTATGTTTTAGTTATTAAGTTAGTATTTTGTTCAAACCAATAAAGAGTTTTAATTTCAGAGAATTCCTCTAGTTTCTACATTTAAGCGAATTTCTGAAGTTATGTGAAAATCTACCCTTTGATTTTAGTAGAAGACATTGGGGCCTGGGGAATGTTTTAGTTTGGTTTTAAGCAAACCAAAATAAAATAAATCAAAGATTAAATTAAAAGCATTCTAATCAATTTTTGAACGTGCTTAAAACTATTTGAAGTAGACTTTAGAAACGGTAGGGGGAAAAAATTCGCCAATGAGACAAAAAGAAATCCCACATAAGTAGAAAAATCTATTATTTTTTCTAGATTTGTGTATTATCAATGGATTTACACCACTATGCTAACCTGTTCAGACCATTCAGCACTTTCCCATCATCCAAAAGAGACTTCAGTCTCCTACCGCTACACACCAGAGAGAAACTGGCAGTCATAAAGAGTTATGATGATGGTTAGTTCATCATCCATTCTGGGATTATACAAGAAAGACAAATACTAAAATCACCCATGAGCAGTAGGAAACACTGTGGAGATTAGAAGTTCACTGACAGAAAAATTATTGAGTTCTCTAAGCCCTTCTTGTCTATTGCCTCCTTTTTTTCGTATTTAAGAGAACTCTGCCAGGTTGCAACACTGGAGTGACCTTGTGTTTACCTTTAAAGTATTGCACCAAAATCCAAACAGGGAAAGGCGTGAGGCACTGAAACAGGCTGCTCTGTGTCAGGGCAGGGAAGCTGTGGATGCCCCACCCCTGGAGCTGTTCAAGGCCTGGTTGGATGGGGCTTTGAGCAACCTGGTCTAGTGTAAGGTGTCCCTGCCCATGGCAGGGGCATTGGAACCAGATGACCTTCAAGGTCGCCCTCCAACCCAAGCCATTTTATGATTCTATGCATTAAGCATGTTAGTCTTATTGGTGACAGCTACTGTATAACCGAGGGCAAGACAACAACAATTTTATTGGAAGCATCTAGAAATCAGTATTGTACATGACAAAAAACATTACCCACCTACCTCAAGTAGGCATGCAGCTATTTAAAAAAAAAAAAGTATACATCTAGATAAAATTTAGGTAACAAAGAAAACACATCTGGGAGCTTGAAATTCCATGGAAACACAGGGAATTTTCTCACAGTCCTTCTTTCAACAACAAACTGAGCAGACTAGTACTAATGAAGTCACCAATTATGTGATCATGCTCATAGGTACGTTTATGCAATTTGACCAGTAAGTACCATCTTTACTGGAACTTCTAAGTTGCTTGTAAGGTACCTTTTACACATGAAGAGCTCTTGCTTTGCAGACAGGTAATGTGGATCTCTATACCAGAAGTCTAGCAATTCTTATGACACATCAAAAGTTCACACAAAACGAAACTAATACAGTATTTAATTTTCAAATACATCTATATCAGATAGATTCATTCACTTAAAAAACTTACCAGTCAGGACACAGAAATAACTATTATTATTATTTCTGCATTCAAAGAGGGATTCTTGTTTAAATCCCCTCCCCCAAATTAACACTGTACAAGCCAAATCATCAAGTACTAGAAAAGGTTTATTTTATTACTACTTACCACTGAAGAATTCCATTCCCTACTTTAAATGAGTCATAAAAATCAGAATTTAAATTGATTGCCATCCTTGTCAGAACTCAGAAAGAGAACTGCAATTGTATTCACAAGCAACTACAAAATTACTGATGTAGCAAGATGCAAAATGAAGAAAGTCTTTAAGCAAAAGCAATCTTTCTAACAAATTTCACAAGTTAATTTGAAAAAGATTCTAGTACACTGACTTAAGAGGTCCATTTATTGAATACAACGATACATAAAACCAGCAAGAGTGTAGTCTTCTCAAATGGATCAGGATAGGAAGAAGCAAAAATAAAAAAAAAAAAGAGAGAGAAAAATGTAACTACTTAACCCCATACCTGCGCAATCCTAAATCAAGCTGAGGCTCATCATTGATGAGTTCTGCTTCACTCTGGGCAATTCTCATTGCAAGTTCGTGGTCACGACGTTCCTGCTCAAGCACTGCCTGGTGCTGGGTTTCCTCTTCTCGTTCTCTAGCTAGCTGAGCTTCAATTTCAGCCTGTTTTATAAAAAGACATCTTTAACCTTATCCAATTGAAACCAAAACACTACATAAGCAATATTAGAAAAATATGCTAAGTAGTATATTAATAGCTTTTCAAAATGTGCAAAATTTACAGAACTGAAAAATTAACAGCATCAGTATTCAGTTTGACCCAAGAAAAATGAAACTGCTACAGATTGCAGCTTGGTTTCCATATAGTTTATCAAGTAATTATTGTCCACCACTTGTATTACCTATTCAAATAAAGTGCCAAATAATTATTACTCATTAAAAAAAATACACTAAGCTTTTTGTTCACTATTATGAAAACTAGTCTTCAAAAGTTTTTAGGATCATTAAAATTCAAATGATACAGAGCACTATAGTTTACTCCTCCATAGCACTAACACAGTACTTCATTGATATTCTGCACTTGACACTACAGGACTTTGCAATAGGCACTGCTTTGCATATGGGTCCGAATCCAGATGTGACTTCCAGTAAAAGTGACAAACTTGGCTGACATGGAACATCTGCAAAAACTTCAAAGGCTTAACTAGAATTCTCCAGTGTTGTGTATTTTTAACTTTAAAATAACTTTCAAATCCCTTTAAAAACAGATGCACCTCTACTCAGAAGACCAACAGCTGCACGCGAACTAGAAATAGGTGATCTGTCTTGGGATGCCCTATTCATGACTTTTGCCTTACATTTTCTACTAAAGCAACACTGGTGAATGACTGAGACATGCATTTATAAAATTAAGCTATTAGACTCAGTGGAGAACCTAAGCTGCAAAAAAGATTCAAAAATAAGTAAATAAATACACAAAACAAACAAACAACCCCAAAACAACCACCACGAACAACAAAAAAAAAAGCCAAAACCACACAGAGCTAAAATATTAACCTGAATACGCTTTTCTTCATCTTCCCTCTTTTTCCTCTCTTCCTCTTCCAGTTTTCTCTTTGCCTCAATATCAGATTTCCTATTACAAAAGAGAAGGAAATGAAAACATGTTGTTATGATGCAAGTGAACATGAGATAGTGAGAGATAGAAAGTATCTTCCATAAAACTGAATGGTAATCCAGACGTCAGTACAGTCCTGATAACAGGGCACTACATGTAAAGTCAAGACATTTTTCAAGTTCATCTGTATTTGCAGCTACATCATATCATCTCTTCCATTCGCTATTCTAACACTTGCCTTATAATTCACTGGGAAAGGAAACATTTCCACACTGCACAGCACACCAGGAATACAATCCAAGTAACTTTCTATGTGTACAGCTATTAAAAACAAACTCATTAAAAAGCCTTTCCTATTTTCTTCTCATTCTATAACCAGCAACTTATTCATGACTCACAGACGTCTTTCTTCTTCTTCCTTCCTTCGTTTCTGTTCTTCCTCTTCACGTCTCTTTCTTTCTTTTTCCATTTCCTCCTGGATGCGTCGCAGCCTCTCTGCTTCCTCCTCTTGCTGCTTCTTCTTTTGCAGTGCACTCAGAAGGTGCTCTGAGCTTTTAACTAAAGCATCATATTCTTTCTGTATCTGTTCTCTAGTCATTACAGTGGTCTGCAAAAATAATAAGGGGATTATATTCTATTGAAATAATATTAAGTGAGTACTATAATACAATATATATATACTATAATATAATATATATATAATATATATATACACGTCAGGGTGGGGAAGCTTGAGTCCATTTTTCTCTTTCTTTCTGAAATCCTGAGGATTCATTATTGTCCTCTCTCATGTAAAACCATAAAAGTAATCTCCTTTTCACCCCTGAAATTAAACATGACTTCTCTTTAAAACATGCCTTCATATTTTAAATTTTGCAGTTTTAAGCAACAGAAATTAATTCTTACCATGCTAGGATGAAAAGTAAGGCCTGTCCATGTCCATTTTGCATTGTGTTCTTATCTGCTATAGTGGTTATTTACAGCTCTGCCTTTTATGTCATAGAATATAATATTTTTCTCACTACTTCTGCTAGCACTCAGAAAAAATAATGGGCCATGCTGTGACTAACTTTCTAGAAAAAGGCATTAGTAGCAAATGACAGGTTGAAAATACTCTAAAAAATAGCCTTTGCTACATACATTTTCCAACCTAATTGATAGCTACAATTTAATTTCATTTTACAATTCACATCATACTAATAAAACTGCAATATGGGATGTTTGCTGACCTTTCCTGAGGGTGTATCATGGTAATAATCAAATTATATTATTTTTATTAGAAAAGAGAACTCTAAGTTGACAGGTTAACTCTAGCATCTTTTCAACTGTGATTTTAAATAAAAAGATCTTAATATGGTACACTAAGGAAGCTGTAATATTGCATGAAACAAGAATTCAACAAACCCAATTTTTTCTAACATTAATAAATGCCAGTGTCCTTTCATTTTGTCTTTTACTTCTGTGGTATGGAACTGAGAACTATAGACCCTGAAGCATAATCAGTGAGCTGAATTTTCTTTACTACCAAGTCTGAAAAACCTCTTAACTGGAACAGAAATCTCTTTATCCTGTGACAAAGGCTTGTCTGTTTCAGCCCTGATGAAGTTAAAATATTGCTACTATGCATTATTCCAATAATAAAATCAATAAGCAAACTATTGACAACACTTCTCATAATATCAACATGCATTTTTGCTTTAAATTCTTCAGTGCCCATTTTGAAACTCAGATAATAATACCAAAGTATAGACATATAGATCTAGTTTCAGGATTCACTTAGGTTACATTCACAAATAATTTTAAACAGGATTTACCCAGTGAATGAAAATTAAGACCACTATAGTAAAGTACCTTTTCTATTAAAGAAAAATGCATTGGCCTTCTACTTTAGGTGAAGTTTTTTAAAGATTCCAGTGATAAGAAACTATTTCTCTCCTTATTATCACATACCTTAATTTTGTTCATTAATGCATCAATAGAATACTCCAGCTCCTTGACCTGCTTGCTTGTCTCTGCTTTTCCCTCCTTCAGGGCACTTACTACTTCATTGAATTTGTCAAGTCTCTTCTTCAGTGTACGCACTTTTATCAGGCCATCAATGCTGTGAAGGAAGGGCAGTTTATTTGTATCTTGAGATGTTTTTAGAAGGTGATATTTTTAAAACTACCACTAATCACTCACTCAGAAGAGGAAGATGGCAGACAAATTATGCCTTCTGACAAAACTCACCCTCTTTTTTGAAATTCAAACATTATCACATCAAGTAACAAATTAATGTAGCCTTTTGCACAAAGCAACTAAAAGTGACTAGCAGTCAATGACTCAAAATAAAAAAAAGCCTTTTTACTTTGAGAATTAATGTTGGTTTGGGTTTTTTTTCCCCCCAATATTAAATCCTTAGTTCACTAGAGAATTTTGACTGAAGTGGATAAAGGCTGAGTAGTGCCACTTACTCAAAAAGCTAATGGGACTGAAACAGATAAAACTTAACACAGCAGGGAACACAGTCATTAGACCCTGTAGGAGTGAAAAAACAAGGCTAGGGAAGAATTCAGGAAAACTTGGGAGTTTTTTTAAGAAACTATTGAAGGACATGCACAGAAGTTACAACTCTACAGACAGTCTTCCTAAACAGAAATCACGGAACTCAGAATCACAAAAAACAACACATAAAAAGTAGAAACTAACTCAATTAATTAAAGATGAGTACTAAACAGCTTAAAATAAAGGAAAACGGTCAGAAATGACAAGGTTCAAAAAATGAAATACAACTTTTAAAGGATGTAAAGGAAAAAATTCTATAAGAAGCCCACTACTGAAGAACAGAGTTGGATCTTTATCAAACAACATAAAGATGTCAGCAGAGCTTAATGACCGAAGTGTTTTTTCCATTAGTATTCCATGCAGTCAGCTAATGGAATTATTTAATTTCAAGAGGAGACAAGACAGGTAAAACAAAATTATTTCTAAGTTAAAAAAAGAATGGGTAAAGGACAAAAATTAATGAGCTTAAAATTCATTTAGACAGATTTAAAAGAAGGATTTCTAAAAACTAGGTTGCCCCTGAAGGATTTTATGAGCAAAGAGCTATATAAACATCTCTTAGGAAAGGTTCGGATTTAGTCTATTGATCCTTGGGAAAGAGAACACAGAAACTCTTAAGGTCTCCTTCAATAGTAAATCTCTGCTTTCTACAGTCACAAGAGAATATTATTTAAAACCTATTTTCTTCAGCCAAGGAATATCTTCTTACCGTGGTTTGTGCTTTCTCTTGCAAAGCCACATACGAATAGTCTTTTGTATTTTAATGCAGGCACAGGCTCGATATTTTATCTTATTTGTCACTGTAAAGACACAGAAGATATCATCTCAATGTTTTATACAATTTAACATGACTCCTGTATTACACGTTTCATAGCTCAAAACCATATGTAGACTCCATGTGTTTGAGAGCTCATTCTATATTGGAACCACAACATTTAAGACACAGTGGACAGCAGAATTAACAGTCTTGGGCCAGACACAGAGGCTCCCACCCAGAACAGACAGGAACAATGAAGCATTGCACCATCACCTCCCTCCAGATTCATAAACATCAGCAACCTCTGTTAAAAGTCACGGGATCTAGCAAGCAGGAAACACTTAACTTTAAGTCAAAGTGCTGTGTTGAACAGTAATCAAGCCAATATCTGCTAGAGATAATAAAGTGGCTGCAACTTTGCAGAGCATTTCTCTACAACACCAGAATGAAAAAAAGCCCCATGAAACAAAACCTCTAGCTGTTGTTCTAATACAGACTTCATCTAAAGACTCAAATGACTGCGACCAGGAGGCAAGTTAAATAGAGAATCAAGGCACAGGGCACGTGCACATGTGCTGAGTATTTCAGAAGTGTAACAATAAATGCAGTTTCTATACATCTATTAAAGGAAATATAAGGATCCACGTTGCCTTTAGTCATCTGCTGAGCACAGAGTTTGTGAACACAGTATATTTAACCATTAGACTTCAGTGGTCACAAAGCTGCACTCTACTTCTTGTATATCTATTTCAGCTTTATTCTGGGAAAAAAACTTAGCTTCTAATTTCCCATAAAACACTACAAAGAAGTAAGATACATAAGTATTATTTCCCTAAGTTTCTACTTTTTGGACACATTGACAAACTTTGTCCTGTCTTTCTGAAAAACAGACTAAATGGAATTAATTTCTAAACAGTAAAAGATTTCACCGTTACAATTTCTGATGTCTTAAACATATATGTTAAGAATTCACAAATTCTATTTGCACCACTATGAGCAGCAAAAAATAATAGCCGACCAGTGACAGATGTAGAAGTGTGACTGTGCCAGTCCAAATGCAAAGCTGTGTGTGCACTGGTATGAGGTCTTTTTGCTTTTCTTCCCCATTTTAATGCATACTTTTCACCCTCTGTGTTATTATAGATTGCTGACGTTCTGCATCAGATCTCTCCACATCTCCCACACATCTTAACTGAAGTACACCACAAGCACCAATCTCTGTTCCACACCACTTCATTGCTACTCTGCACAGTAAACTTCAAGGCCAGGTTGGATGGTCTAGTGGGATGTGCCCCTGTCTGTGGCGGGGGGGTTGGAACTAGATGATCTCTGAGGTCCCTTCCAATCCAGGCCATTCTATGATTCTATAAACTGGGCAGGCCAAGAACTTGGAAACTGCACATCAACAGTGACAGGGACTAATTTGCTGATGAGTAGTAATTGCTGGAGTGGAGATGTTTGTCCTGTAGTTCACATCAACACTTTCAAACATGCTGTTTCTGTCTGGAGATGACAACCTCTGTGTAGGTACTTCCCAGAACCAAGTGACTCTATGTTGCCAGCTAAGGGTGGAACCACTCCTCTTTCCTGATGATACAGAACACTCTTCCTGGCAAGACCTGTCGTAGCCGGTTATTTATGTGAGAGTGTTTACCCAGGCTTTGGTAAGCACCCAAGTAGACTGGACATGGGAGACTGGTGGTGGGCTGTATGCCCCACTTCGTACAAACTCGGCTGTAACCCCCCTGTAAGTACCTAACACAAAGCACAAAAACAAAGAAAAATCTCACCAGCTTTGAAATCATTGATTGGACTTCCATATGTAACCATCTGCTATATGTGTCCTTGGCCACATTTCAAGGTGATAATAATTGTTTTTCTGTCTTTTTAAGAAACATTTTGATTTAATAAAACATAAAATACATACACTTAATCACTGAGAGAGAACACCACTGAACTTTTTTCCAACGACTGCAGATAAGCCAGCGATTCACTCGTTTAACCAGCTCTGCCAAGTGATCCGGATCAGACTTCATTATCTGATCGAACTCTGCAAACTATACAACAATTATTGTAAAATTAGGAGAACAGAGAGTGTTAGACATTGTCATTTAAGATCATGCTTAATTAAAAAGTTAAAATATTTTTAACATAAATTGTACGTCGTCATTATATCAGCTTTCAATTACTGAAAGTGAGCAGATGTATCTGACATCACTTTATTGTTTAATGATAACGGAAATGACAACTGTAGGGGTTTTGTTTGTTTGTTTGTTTTATTGATGTCCAACACTTGGCATTTTGAATAATCCAACCATTTACTAATCACTAAAAATATTTATTGCCAAAAAATCAATTGTTTTGCTACATCCTGAAAACTTACTCTAGCCTTCCACAACTTCAGGACACATCTAACTGTATATCTGGGGAAAAACTAAACCCTGAAAGCACTTCCCAATTTTTAACCTTTGTATAAGAGTCCTGCTGAAGGCAACCTTTTCTAAAAATCCTGCATTCATTTCTGCTTTTTAGTAATTTTGATAGTAAGAACATTCTTCTGGGAGTACAATAATTTTCCTTTCTAATCACAACAGATCCCTACTTCATCTCCTTTCTCTGCATAGCAGCAGCAATGCTCAGAATCACAGAAGAAGATTTCAGCTATAAATAGATTTTACTAGAAAATATTTCTTCTTTGTTCTGACTTTTTCTTTTTAATAGTCAACATAAGTCTGGGAATACAAACATTGCATTAGAAATACAGCAGCAGCAGCAAGACTATAAAAACAATTGTATCAGTACTAATATTCGGTGGTTTTTTCATAGAAAATGAACAATATTTACAAAAATCCTGGGCAGTCTTATTTAGGTTGGCCACACTTTTAGGAATGTGTTGAACAACATCACCTTCAAAGGTCCCTTCCAACTGAAATTATTTTAAGATTCACATTCATGAACTCCAAGAAAAAGATTACCTTGCCAGGTCTAAAAAACACCTTGGTTAGCCCAAATTTGTAATCATTTTCATTCAGTCCCAAGGCTTTAAATAGTGCCTGAAACACAGAAAACAGAAAGGATTATATTTTGCCCCTTTAAAAAAGACAAGAAAATTCAAAAAACACAAAAAACAACCCCACAATACATTTTCTCTCCTGGCTGATACAGAAGAATTATTTATTTCTTACTTTGCAAAAAAGCCTAGGGTCCAGTCGAGCCAATTTTTCAGGCAAGTATTTCTTGTACATATTATATAATTCATGAAATGAAGCTCGTGAAGGGAAACCACCTTGCATTAAATCCAGAACTGACACCATTCCTAGATTCACAGAAACACATGCACAAAAGCTCGTGTTAGTAACATGGAAAGTAAGCACCTAATTTTATGATAACAAGTAGTTTATAACATACGCCTCAAAGACATTGTCCAGAGACTAAACCACAAAGTTCAGTTGAGACTTGATCCAGCCTCTAACATTTTTTGATACTGTGATCAGTCACAAAAAGTTAATACTGAGCAGATGAGAAGAACCCATACAATTTTCTCCCTATTTGAGAGGCAAGTAACACTCAATCATGAAGAGGAATTTTTTTCTAATATTTCTTCTAAATTTTCTTTCCTTTTTCAGCAGACTTGACATTTTCATTTTTAAAGGGAAAAAAACCCAAACAAAGCGAAATAAAAAGCCCTCCACCAAATAATGTCCAACCAGGCTTTTATTTTCATGATGTCAGTGGTATTCGTGAGATGTTGTGCAGATGCAACAACAAATGCATATGCAGTGCTGGAACATTCGCTGTACTTAAAATAAGAGGTATCAGCTGCTAAGATGAAACTTTAATGTCCTGAATAATGTTACTACATTTCGGCTGCAAGGAGGACATCAGTAACGCCCAGACACAGTCAGTAAAAAACTCGAAATAATTAAGGCAGCACAGGCCATGCCAGTTTTTGCCCACTGCTTTTCATAACCCTACCAACAGAGGCTGCACATAAGTTTTTCAAGTTAGTCCTTAACTTATGGTCGCTGTCTTACAACTTAAACTTTTGCATATTTGCTTTCAATTGAAATTTGATTGTTTAAACAAAGTCTTTTTCAAAAAAGATTTTATAACGTTACATCTTGGTATTTTAACATTACCATGCTATGACTTTGTGTTACTAGATTAAGCTTCATTTACTGTTGCAAAGAAAGCATAGATAGACAACTGAGCTTGTAAGACTACTGTAAAGCATCACAGTTGTTGTTGGGGAGAGGAGGTAATTTGCTAATTTTTCCTCTCATGCCAAATGCTATTAACCTGAAGAAATCTGCTACTAATGATGTTAATGGAACACTTAAGTACTGAAAAGTTGTTAAGCTTTTGTTATGATAAAATTACATGTGAAATATGTCAGCTTCTCAAAACATCAACTGAAAACTACTGAAAGTACAAAAATACAGAAAAGGGAAAAATATATTGAAGTGCTTTGTTGAACAAACACCCTATAAAGAATGAAAATGCCATCACAACAATTCCCAAGCAAGCAGTTACTTCCACTGTTCAGTGGGGCATGAGCAAAACTGCTAATACTCACTCTTGAAACTAAAGCTGTAAATTTGGGAAGCATCTAGCATTTCAAGAATAATGAAGATGGAGCATTACAATCTTCGTGTACAAAGCAACAGGAAAGGCTATACTGAAATGTCTGTGTTGCATGTTCAGCTCCAAATCAAATGAATAGAGACATAAAGACATTTTGAAAAACTAAACCAATATGATTAAACTCTATCATAGTATCTATAAAATCTATAAAAGAAAACAGGTGTGCTTCAATTATTAGATATCTCAGCTAACAATGACTGCCTTTAAATGCACACAGGAGTTTCTTGCACTTCAACTGTCCCAGTAATTTAAAACAATGCTATTGTTCCAGACTGAACTACTGCCCTATTAACACTGTGGGCAACACAAAGAGATGGAATTCAGCTCCAGGTCAGGAAATTCAAATTTTGTACCAATGTACAGCTACGTGGCTTCTTACATATGCACGTGGTGCTTGACCTCTAATTATAATAAAAACAGTCAATGGAAATTACATCAACTCTTCTTGCAAAGAAGAGACCTTATGGCACTTCACATGATTAATTTCTAGAGTTCCATTGGCTAAAATGAGTGCTAAGTTACTAAGAATCTAAATAACTGCACATAAGGCATAAATAACCTGCCTTCTAGAAAACAGCAGTTCAAGCAAGGAAATATTGCTTTCACCTCACATATTTCAAACTTAGATTAATCTGTACTGCCCAAGGTAAAAAACACAGGGAAAAAATATGAGAGGCATATATTACCTGAACACTGAAGCTGAGAGAGGATCTGTCCTCCTTCAAAATGATGACTTGTCATCTTTAAATTAGGTTTGATACAGCGAATAAAGCTAGACCCCTATAACCAAAACAAGAAGTTAGCAGAATCTAAACATTTTTAAAACTCCTAAAATAACAGTTAATCATTTAACACTTATGGGTGGGGAAAAAAAGATACAAAATAATAATATTCTAAAAGAGAAATGTCAATATTATCATTGAACCACAGAATGTCGAAGGGTTGGAATGGAGTTTAAAAGACCATCTAGTCCCAACCCCCATTCTTTTTCTTTTGTATATCAGTTTTGCACTGTAGCCTTGGTCTAAACCAGTTAATGGATGTAACTGATCTCCATGCTAAAGCTATTAATTGGATCCTCAATTTTGCCGAGTTTTCACTCAACAATGTTCTTCCTAACATTAGTACAATCTAATTATGATTTATCAGTCTAGACTCTACTACCCTCATTATCTTCTACAGTCACATCACTTAAATGCCTCAGTCCTTCAGAATTCACATCAGTGAGCACGCCACCAGACTCCTGACATCAGAATGATGCCAGATGAACTTGACCTTCCTTAACTTCTACTTTTTACAACTTCCTTTGGCTCACAGCTCGTCTCCCTTCCCCAATGTCGTTTCAGTCTGCTTCTCTCTTACGACCATGTGTTCCACCTCTACAATTTTGATCACTGCTTTCTCTGATCATTTCACATTCATAAAGAATGACATTTTTGCAAAGGACCATCCAATTATCCAGGTTTTCCTGGAACAGGTGACCACTAATGATAACCTTTATATACTAAAACAAAATTGGGACTGAGAAATCCTGGTTTGCAGCGTCTTCTCTCTTTTTTCCATCTCTCAGCTGAGAGTGAGAGAATATCTTCAAGGGAGCTCTAGGTCAACAATACCTCCTCAGTCATGGGTCAGCTAAACTCAAGAGTACAGTAAGCCTGGCCACACACTTTTTCCCTGGACTGCATGTCAGTTCCAGGGACATCATCTTTCAGACCAGCCGCATGACTACAGTAAAATCTTGTATGTTGGCTACACTCCAGCACCTGATCCCTTTGTTGCACTTGGTTTTCCCCCCTTTTTCTTTTTTTGACAAAGCGTAACCTTGTATATAATATTAGTTAGAACATGTGGTTCAGAGAAACAAAACTGTGTGCCTACAACTCCAAGTTCTACAAGAAAATGGGCATGTTGAACTACATGGAGAATTTCACAAGCTATCTAAATACATCCGTTAAATTAACAAATACTCATTAGGGGACTAAGTTTCTTTGACCACCTGTGAAATGAAAAATTTTACTTTTAATAACTTTATGGAATCTGAAAACAGTAATTAATAATAAATTATCATCTGCCTTACTTTTAAATAACATTTCTAAATTTTCTGCAAATTAGTAATCAGTGTTAACCAATGAATGGAAAGAAGTAAAAATAACAAAAAAGGTGATTGCAGCCCGGATAGATTTCATCCTTTTTACTCAAATTGTGTAACTTTCACTCTACGAGAACTTTTTTAAAGGTGATGTAGTTCGGGGTTTTTTTCAAGTAAATCAACAACCATCACATGCACAGGAAGACCTTTCAAAAGTGCCATAAAGCTGCAAACTCTAAAGCAATTACTAATCACACTTACTGGAAGCCATATTGAGAAAAATTATGAACCTTCATCTGTATATATACTTACAGTACTGTGAAGTTTCTCAAGAAGCAAATTTAACTGAGTCTGTAAAAGAAAACAGGTATTTCAAGAGCCTTAACCATGGCAACTACAGAAATACACACACCAAATAGAAGTATAGCATTACTGCATGCATAGTCATTGTTATTACGACAGAATTGATAAACCAAACATTCACAAATTTTAACAGACAAAATCATGCAAGTGTGCATGAATGGTCCTGAGGAAACTGGTTGTGTTTAATTATACAATACTGTATGGACTAGTTACTTATTACAACATCGTTATCAAAGAAACATGCAAGTCCATTTGGGAAAATAAAAGAAATAACGACTTTCATCTATAACAAGTATATATTTGTATGTTAAATAATTAACACAGAAAACATATTCTCAGAGTTTTCTTGTGGTTTTTTTTCAAGTTAAGTCAACATTTACCTGCAATAATCTATTTTTATTTCCAAACTTTCAACTTTCCAATTTTCTGTTGATGACAATAAACTACAATTTCAAAATCGCATTTACTGAGGCTGCATTTAACAAACTGTGATGAGAAAAGACTACTATTATCTGAGGGCAAAAGTCTTCAAGATAACCAAAGACTTAAGGTTATCAGGGAAAACAACTTACAGTTGCTTTTGAAAGTAATTGGTAGGGATTTCAAATATTCCAAAACCACACCAGGAAAACAGCAATATCTTTACTTTAGAGATGTGTCTGTTTTGCCACATAGATTACTGCTTTGTCAGCCTTTCTAGTTTACTAGCAAGCTTTAAGTATATAGACTGTAGGAAGACAAATTCAGTATGTCCTAACATATTCTTAATTTTCTGTACTGAAAGCAAAATTGAAACGATTTGACTTTTGACTTTCTTTTTAACCAGATCTTTCAATTATATTCTACAGCTGCCAGTTGTACTCCCAGTGGATAAAATTGGTTTGAATTTTTTTAACTTAACATGGATATGGTTAGAAAGAGAGAAGTGCCACGAGAGACATGACAAACACTAATAACCTCCTGCTCAGTTCTCACTTACACATACTCTTTATATCTCAACTTGATTATAATTATTATATTTTCTTAAGTTAGAAACAGCTAATTTTGAAAGGGACAGCCTAATTTCCATCAACAAAGTACATTTCTGCTTGAGGAAAAATACCCCTTCCTTATACTCTGTGACTTGACAAGAAATAAGCCAGAGCAACGCTCAGGTAAATTTCTCTAATAAAATGTGCATACAAGTAAAACATATTGCTAAAACTACTGCTCTTTGAATTGTCACGATTCAATTCATCATTAGCATAGTAAGGTAAAATAATTTCAAAGATACTTTAATAGATCTGATGATGAATTAATCATTATTTCCTCAACTGATTTATGAGAATTAATTTTAATTAGTTATAAGGAAGGGACATGTGAAGGATTTCATAAAGAGAAGTCCCTGCAACATCATCTAATAACTGATATAATTAGAAGGATTTTTCATTTTAGAAGACCGACTTACATACTAACGCACTAAGAATTTTTATTCTTAACGAGAGGAAGTATCTAGTAAGATAAGAGAACTTATTTTGATGTCATCTGAAGTGAAATTTTCAAGGCTATTAGTGTTCATCAGCATCACATGCTGTGTCTGGGAAGGTAACACTAAATGAATCACTGGAAGTAACACATACATTCAAAATGCCATGAAACTTGAAAACATTGAAAGAATTATAGACTGATGGGCCAGATCCAAAGAGGACTTTAGTTATGTTCTAGGTGCAGAGGTGAACACCAATTTTCAAAGGTCAGTCCCAAAAGTTCCCCACTCAATTGCTGCTTAATTTTAAAAATGTCTCCCTTTCTAATTCAGTTGTCCTTGGACATTGGTAACATACAGAAGTCCATATCTACTGGACGTGGGGTGCTAAATCTGAGAGAAGCCGAAAATCCAGATGGAAGAAAGTGGAAACTCTCAAAAGATCCCACAGTTGGTTTCATTTTAAAAATGCGGTTCTAAAAAATAGTGAATCTCACCTTCACCTACAACAGACTCAATGGCTGCAGGGTTTGCTTAGGACATGGATTATCTGTATGTAATTTTTCAGTCTGCCTTCTGGTCATGTGTTTTATATTAAACCAATTGCTACAGTTAAATTCTACAACCACTACAGAATAAGGAGGAGGAGGAAATAATCATCAGAGCAAAACTCAGGAGAGCAGGCTACCCAATTCCCAGTTAAATGCCAAAATCACTACCTTACAAGTCAGGCTCTGTCTCCTACTCTTCCTGCCCCATGAAAATTTTACTCCTGGCTACATAACAACACATCTCCAGTAGGTCATAAAGAGAATACCCTTTGTCAGACTGACCAATAACTTGGTGCTCACTACAAGAAATACAATAGCCATAAAACACAGTATAGACCCGAAGCAGTGTGCTGCTACCTGTGCTTAAGCCTCTGCATCTTTAGAGAACAGTTCCAAATGCTAGCCACAAGATACAATTATGCAAGAAGGAATTCATCTTGCATTCTTGCTTCAGCACTTAACCTTGATATGGAGCGAAATACTCTTTTGCTACTGGCAGTGTCCCACTCTACAAGAAGGTTTTTTGGATTGTCTAAGATACGTTCCCCAGGGACTGCAAGGAGTCTAGTTAGGAAAATGATGTGGGTTTATGGTTGCTCTAGATAAGGTAGCATACCAAAACTGTTGCTGCACCTGACTTGAAGGCATGCAAATCCTTCATTGGATCTGGCCCAGATGTGTTGAGAAGAGCTCTTGCTGAAATTGCAGCAGCTCTACCAATACTAAATCTGGGAGACTGAAAAATTTACCTGCAGCCCACGGTGTGCCTGCTTTTCATCTCTTAATTCCCCTATAGTTCTCTTTCTAGCCATCCTGAGCTGGAATAGTCCAGCTAAAATAAAACTGCTGAATGAGAAAAGGATGTAGAAAAAATTTGGAGAAGACAAGGTTTGAAGATCAGCTTTACAACAAGCAGAAGAAAGGAGAAAATGAGGAGAAGCATCAGATTCAGGTATTGAGAAAGGAAACATTCAGCACAATGAACATCTTCCTGTGTAAGCCATGACTATATTTCAGAAGAGGAAAAAAGTGGTTAGGTTAAGTATTGAATTTTAAGAGTGGTCAACTGTAGTGAATCAATACATCTTCTAGAAGGCATAATTAATTTCAACTTAAATCTCAAAACATTAAACATTTTGAATAAAGACTTCCATGTGGCTTTGCAAGATTCTGACTTAAAAATCACTGTATAATCTCTGTAAGGACTATTATGAAAGATATTTTCATCAGAAATGCATAGCACATAACTTGAGTATACTGGTTTCTTATAATTCCATAGGAAAAAAAACTGTCTTTTTAACAGAATTTTCTTTTGAATCTTAAGCTACTGCTAGCTCTCCCAATCTTAGGTTCTACTTAATGCAGGTAACTTAAAACTGGCATACATTACAAGAAGATAAGACTCTTTCTTATATGATGTTACCTTGAATTTGTTTCCCACACTGATGAAACTAAGTTTCCCAGCTTTTTGTTTGGGATCCTTGTTGTTGTTCGTGTTAGCTTCAAACAACTCTCGAACAAACTTGTCCTTGGATTCACATATAAGAGATTGAAGGGACATGTGCAAAGCATCATTGTTTTTTTCCACAAATTGCATCTGAAAAGACAACCCAAGAGATAACAGCACATTTGTTTCACTGCCCAGTTACCTTAGTCTAATAAGAAAACTAAAGAATCTAAGTCACATACTAAATTCAAAAATCAGCAAGAGTACGTGATGTAAATACTCACACATTATTCCAAACAACTTTTCAACTGGATATACAAAACACTAATGACAGAGAGAAAAGACATTCTTAAATTTGAAGGATGTTGTTGGAATCATGAAACCCAAAGTAAGGTTTAGTGCCTTTTAAGAGATCAGTTGTGTATTTGATAATGACTATCCTTGTTTCCCTTTCCAGGACTCAGCACATCATCACCTGAGAGTTCTGAGAAGCTTAATTCTTCACTGCTTGTAATATCATATAAAATCTGTTGTGAAATGTTCACACTTTAATTGGTATATTTATACAGTTTAGAAAATGAAATGAAAACTGGTTATTTTAGTAGTACTACAGCTATTTATGAACAGTTGGTTTAATAAAACATATTGTCCCTTCCTACGAACTTTATCTCTCTGGTTTATTTGAATTGGATCACTAACTTTCAGAAGTCAAGAACAATACATTACATTGAAATTCAGAGATCAAGACACTAGTATCCAATTTCACATTAACTAAAATCTCAATAGCTTTTGGTGCAACTTTAATAGAGACTTTGATATTAATTAACAGAAGAGGCCAAGACTACTTGAAAGAAAATGTCAATTTGCCAGATATCCTATAGAAGGACTTAATGGTGATGAGAATCAAAGGACAAACACAGGCCTCCAAAGTTCCCTTAGACCATGAAAACACAAGACTAGAATATGAATGCAGCCAAATGAGCGTTCTCATCATAAATCAGAATGTGAGAACTGCCACAAGAGCAGTGAAAAAGAAAAACAAATAACAGAAGAACAAGGCAACTATAGTCCAAAAGTTTTAAGGCTCAAGCTAAGTAAGCCCTTCTGAGGGAAAGGATAAATTAAGTCTAGCTTATTAACATAGTTCTGGACCACAGCTACCTCATATCTGATTAGCTCTGATAGATAAATATATGTAATCAAATCTGTCACCTCTGTTCCTGAAGACACTCTCAGGCATTATTAATGTATCATGATGAAGTACACAGTTAAAAATAGAGCACTTGGAACAAATAACAATTTGTTCCAATTTTACTGGAATTCCGATTTTTTTTGATTATTTTGATATTGACTCTGAGCAACCTCAGAAAAATCATGAAGGTAACACAGACTTCAACTTTCTTATTTGTAAAAGGACCTACAGAATGTGTCTACTTCAAAACAGCACAGCAATCATTATCACTCGAAGTATTTTGAAGTAAACGAAAACAAACCCTTAAAGTACACATTTTCAAATGAGAAAAAAAGGTCTTTGGAAGTCGCTTCCTTCATACATGCTGCAGTTACAAACCAGAACAACAAAGCATTATGGATCTTCATTTTATCCTAAACTCTTTATTTTTAAAAATTGATGGTGTTTCAATGTTTTTGTATGATGAATAGTAGTCCAAAACGTACAAGAATCTGGAATGTATTTTGAGAGTAGTAATTTCAGGTATTTTGTATTCTTACATGAATGAGTCCATTGCCAGCACAAACTGAAAACACGAAGAATTACACAGTGACTATTTACAAGGATAAGCATGCTAAGCATGCTTCCAAAAAGCTATTCTTCAGTCTAACAAAACTTTTTGATCACACAGTATATTTCTCGCCCTAAGATGCAAACATCTTTTGATGGAAAATTTGCAGTAGATCATGAATCAATATATTTAATATTGACATCATAGACCTATATACTCAAAACAAACTTTTACACAAAATAAATCAGTAAAACTGTCTGTAACCTGAAAAGTTAAAAGAAACTGTTAATTCTGATAAATACTCAAAAAATTAGTTTCAAAGTTAAGAAATATCAACTTCTGAATTTCTCTTCTGATGAAAGCAAATTTTATCATTTAACCTATATACACTGAAAAATATAAATGTACTACAAAGCACAACAAAAATAGTGTTTCATGAGTAAAATTACCGTCTCATAGCATACTGCTCCTGCAAAGTGTCGGATAATAAAGCCTTCGTCGTCCCTGATATTTCTGTGAACAGCCAATTTAGACTTCCTAGGAATCTGGAATTAAGAAGTTGAATTACAAAAGAAGAATTACAATGGAGAGTAAGAAAAAGTTTATTCTTAGAACACCACCATGATCTACTGGGAACACTAGGTATTAAAAATTACATTTCCTATAAGTACAATTGTGATGATCACTACCATTCCTGTTCAAACCATGATATTTCAAACCCCTAATTTCAGTCTCATTCACACTTTAGAAACATCACATTCAAAATACAAGTCATCAGGATTGCTAACACTAGTTAGTGGACTTTGGTTTTGACTTTATTTGCCAATTTCTATACCATTCATTCCACAGCTGATGAATATGATTCGACAGAAATTTAATATATGGTTTTGGATGGTATATTTTAACAGGCAACCACTGAGCTGATCATACACATACCAACAATAATGTTTCATTCCACAGCAATCCAGGTAAGTGGAATGACTTAATGAAAGACAAATGGATGACAATTTCATTTGGCTTCCCTTGTTTGTGTTTTTTCAGTTTTGTTTTTTTTAATTTCAACAGGATTCATTATTTAAATTGCAATAATTTGCATAAATCTTCCATAAAGTGCTCTATGTTAAAAAATAAATCAACAAAAAGGTCTTCCTTGTATGATCTCTGAAGTGCTAGCTAGATACTCCACCTGAGTCAAACATTCTCCAAAGCAAGCAATTTTTAAAAGGAACAACAACAGTTCATCTGATATGAAACAATTTAAAATGTGTTTTTATTTTCTATTCATGCTTTACATGTTAACAAACTTAAAATGTAAGTGAAGAATATGGCTTTAGTTTCAGCAGGATATTAGAATTTGTTGAAGACTTAAGGCCTTCAGTGAACTTTTCATCAAATCTAATAACCAAACTTGTCCTTAGCAAAGAAGTACGGATTGTGCAGACAGGTATGGCATGAGATTTCTTAGGAAAGGTTTTCATTAAATTGAAGTGTTACTATCAGCTGTTCCAAGAACTGTTTTATTAAAACAAAACAGACAGCAAAAATAAACCTACTGAGAGCCTGAAATGGTCCTTGTGCTTTTGGTGCACAACTGAAGTAAAATGCTGATCACTTGGTTGGGGAAGACGATTTTCTTCATCCAAAATATCCAGTACACCTACTAATTTTGCTTCAATCAAATCTATTAATAAAACAAAATATATTTACAAAAACTGAATATATAAACTCATATCAGAACTCAACATTGCAAGTGTAAATGCTGCTGATCTGATTCTGTATAAATGTTTGTAGGGAAAGCTGTTCACACAAAATACAAGAAGTCACTGCAAATTAATTCTGTATATCTGAATTGCTGATTTAATTGATATCCTATACATACCAAGTTCTAACTCCTAACGCATGCAACAAGGGGGAAAAGGATCAGGTACAGATTGTTTGATTTTTACTCTCAGTCTGAGGCTGAATTTAGTCATCTTAATTTCCAATAGGTGCCTAAATATTCCTACGGTATGATCATAGGTCTTTATGGGATAATTGCTTAGATTGTTGGGGTTGGTTTTTTGTTTCATCACACATCAAAATTAGAAGCCTAATACTTCCATTGACAACAGAAGCCCAGGGACTAAAACAAAATGCATTTGTTTTAGGAAAGGCAGACCAGACTCTGAGCATGTATTGGTGGTTTCACAACTTTTAACAAGTGTATTGCCTTGACCTCTCACCTACATATACAAAAGCCCTTGAAAGCCAACATAGAAATTCATGCTCTTGAAACTGTTAGACACAAGAATTTTGTAGCTTTTGAAACTTTTTTCCATTGTCTATGAAACTGTTCTTGTAAGAGGAATTTTTACTACATTTTTCTTCTGTGGAAAGAAGAAATATCTAATGCTTGCACTGAAGCAATGCTTATGAACTCTTATGATTTTGAATTGTATGAGGCTATATATAAAATCATAAAATTACTGGTGTTATACATATTTTGCCTCTTCTGCTTGAAGCTTTTTTCTCCATGACATCAAGGAATAGCTTAACATTTCAAGAAAAACCTACCTATACAGTCCTGATTATCTACATAACGCACTTCATTAACCCCCAGGCCTTCTTTCTGGTAAAGTTCTTGTTCCTAAAGAAAAAAAAAAAGTAATTGCTAAGAGAAAACACCACTTATCATATTTTTATTGAATAAACATGAAGTAATTTTAAAATATAGGATGAGTCAACATACATTTGAGAATTTCCTTACATAGTTAAATATATTCCAACGTTGCCACCTTAATGACAAGCCCATGCAACTAAATATTCCTATTTGGTATGAGAGATTGTCCAGAGTGTGGATAACTCATTTTAATGAGGGGAAAAAAAGAAGAAGGAAAAATATTGTTGGTTTTCAGAATGCCATATTCTTTTCTGACATACCCAGATGTCACACAGTGTGAAAACTGATTTTTTTTTAATTCAAGCATAATGTGCAATCTTATGAAAACCAGAGTTACTGTAGGTATCTCTTAAGCAAAAAGATAAATGCTCAAATGCAACAGTAAAAAAATAAATCCTCAAATATAATACTAAATACATCATACCTCTTTCAGAATTCTTTCATTAAAAAACTGCTGCAGTTTCTCATTACAGTAGTTTATACAGAATTGTTCAAAACTGTTGTGTTCAAAGTATTCTGAAAGACAGAAGTTAAACTTTTATGATAAACATTCCAAGAATTTATATTAAACAGCAAATAAGAGAAGCTGCACAATGCTAATATTTAACATGTTTGGATCCATACCTGTTTCTTTCAGCAAAATGAAACCTTTTACAGATTTTCAAGTTGTACACAAGACAGATCTAAAAATATTGCAGCAGATCGTACTTCTAAGACAAATGACAGACAGTTGGCAGTAAACCAAAGCCAGATGCTACCATACAGAGAAATTGTACCAATACATCCTCATGCACCTATGCTTCAAAAGGCTGGCACAGGATAACATAGCTCTAAACACCTGAAAACCAAAGATTCCCTTGAACAACACTAGAAGGGCCAGAGCACACCACCATACATGCCCTATTCTGAATCTCAGTGAGCTGAAAAGGACAGAAGCTTTACGGGGACCTTTAACGCCAAAAAGAAAACCCTCCCACTCCTCGTTACAGAATTTATCATTGAATCTTTGGTGGCAACAAGTGACAGCTAGAAATAACTTTAAGTATACTTACCAAAACCAGCTATATCTAGCACTCCAATGAAGAAAGAAGAAGTCTCAAATGGAAAACACTGGTTTACCCTTTTCACTACATGGTCAAACAGATGACTATACACTGTTTTAGCCAAGGCATCACGAGCATTGTTTGCTTGTTCCACTTTCAAGGGCACCCTAGAAGAACAAAATACAGATCTTACTTTTCATAATTCCTTACTCTGAAATGCTGAGATTGGACTCTAAACTTAAAACCAGCCTTTTCAATTACTGCAAATTAGGACACAAAAAACCCCTGAACTCTAGGCCAAGGTAGAAAACAATCTTGCCAAGCCAGACTAAGCATCTTACCTGTAAGAAGAAAGAATAATGTTTTGCTACCATCAGTAGAAATAAGATTCTGATGCTTTCATAATTATTAGATAGTTAGAAACTATATTAACAATTTCCAGACAAAGATACTTAAAATCTATACATCTCCATCTAAAAAAAATATTTCATCTATTTATTTATGAGCTGTTTGGTTAGAATAAAGCCTGTAGTTTAGTTTTTGTTCTGACATTTTTGTCTCTATGCTTCTGTAAGGGCTATAACTAAGGCTATAAGGCCATAGGCAACAAAAGTAAAAGTAAAAAGTAAGAAGTAAGGCGGTGTGTTCTCATGGTGAAAGATGCAATCCCAAAATAAGAATTTTTTTAAAACACTGGAAGAAGGGGCCTTTTACTAGATGAGAATTTATTTTCACCCTCTTATTTATAGACCTTTATTCTGCATAATTTATTACAAGTCTATATAATAATTTAAAAGTTATATTAAAAAACAAAAAAAAACCCAACAACAATGCCATGAGTCACAGTTTCAAAGCCTATGAAATGCAGGAGGAAACTGTGGGAATATCAGGCAACTATAATCACATGTTTAGATATACATGTAATAATATATATAGCTATTTCATGAACTCAGCATGACAGTGACATGCTTAAAATGCATATATTTCAAAACACACTTAACCCCCTCACATCATGGATAAATACGTTCTGCAGGATTTTGGTTTTTTTTAAGAAGGTTTCAAATTAACAGATAAGAGTACCAAAACTAAGGAATGGTTATACTGTACACCAGAAGCAGAATAGGAAAATTCATATAAGAATAAAGTGTTAAGGAAGTGTTTAAGAAACAATGTGAGGTGATAACGAAAAATGAACTTTTGGTTTTATTGTATGACTGCAAAGTGCACTTGGGTCCTAAACATGTTGCCAGAGAATTTAAAAGCAAAACTCCCACCAATCTGAAGAGAATCAGATAAGAACAGAATGAGATTGCCAAACTTCACAACTCCACAGTATTTTTACATGTCAATAATAAATATAGAGAGGAAAAAAATTAAACTGAAATACTAATAGCTCTTTGCCCAGACAGTATCAAAATTTCATACATGGAAAGGTGGCCTCCAATTAAGAACAACTATGGGTATACAAAGTCTTTGCACAACACTGTATCATGACACACAGATATATCCATTATTAAGTAAATAAAAAGAAGAGATTTTTAGGGAAAGGAACAGGGAAAAATAATCCTTCAATAATCCTTGTCATGAGGAATACAGGATGGATGGTTGTATGCCAAAGACTCTTATGCTTTTTCTAAATATCTCGATTAGCCGGCTTCATAAAATATATCACTTCTCCCCGTATAAATTCCTATATTACTTCTCCCGATATACCTTGCCTCTCTTATGTTTAGATCATTCAGCATGACAATAACAATAAATAATAAGAGAATAGGCCAGCTAAGGTGGTGGGTAACCAATTTTAAAACTCCTCAAGCAGGCAGCAAAATCTACCTTTAAAAAAATCTCTTATCTAAGCTGTTTATTAAGCCCTATGTCCAAGGTACAACATGCTCCCAACGCAGAACTGTGCTGTCATCCAACCAGGTCGTTTTCTGTGCAGAAGGGTACAAAAACTGGCAGGTCAGAGAAAGAAAACTTAACTCTACACAGCTGTGCTGGTTCTTGCTGGAGTAGGGTTAATTTTCTTCACAGTAGCTGCTATGGGACTGTGTTTCGGATTTGTGCTAGAAACAGTCTTGATAACACAGGGGTGTTTTTGATACTGCTGAGCAGGGCTTGCACAGAGTCAAGGCCCTTTCTGCTCCTCACCCCACCCCACCAGAGAGGAAGCTGAGGATGAACAAGAATTTGGGAAGGGACACAGCCAGGACAGCTACAGATGGACATTGTATACTATGTGGAGTCACGCTCAGCAATAAAAGCTGGAGGAAGAAGACGAAAAAGATGATGTTCAGAGTTACAACATTTTGTCTTCCCAGCTTTGCTTTGACTGTGTGTGTGGCTTTTGCTTTACCTGTTAAACTGTCTTTGTCTCAACCCACGAGTTTTCTCACTTTTACCCTTCTGATTCTCTCCCTATCCCACGGGGAAGGAGTAAGCAAGTGGCTGTGTGGGGCTTAGTTGCCAGCTGGGGTTAAATCACAACAACAGCTTACCTATATTGCAGCATTTCCTTCACTTCCTAGAATTCATAAGCACTAAACTAACTCCAAATTATTATTTTTGTATTTTTTCAAGGATATTTCTGATGGAGAAACGTGAGACTGATGGAGATCATTTTCTATTGTGACTGGTAAGTCAGGGAAGCAGAGACTCCGTACACTAAGGACATCTGCAGCTACAATACATTAGATAGTAATTAGCTTTAACACACAATCTTGTCTTCCACTAAGTATCTCTTCATTTATCTTAAGGTAATGAGTACTGACAGAAATCTTATCTTATAAATAGAAGGAAGGTACCTTTGTATTCTGTTCTGATACGTTTAAGAGATCAGTATACTAATTCCCAACGTCAGCTGCAGGCCTATTATATAATACAATACACTAAAATCATTTATGGTTTCCATTTACTTTTTTAAACAACATGGCAAATAGTCATACCTCTAGAGCATGTGTTTACAAAATGGTCCTGTTTTGCAAAATAGCAAATTCTGCCATTATTAAACAGAATTCCAAAGACTGCACAAAACCTTACTGTTAAATTTCATAGTATGCAGCAGAAACACATGGAAAGAAAATGTAACCCTGCGATGTATTTTGCTCAGATGAAAGTACAGAACCACAAAGCAATGCTGAAAATGCACTGAGACAGTAAAAACACAAGAACCCTATTACAGAATTGATGTTCAGACCAAGTAGCTTCCTTGTCATGAACTTGCTTTCCCTCAGCTCTTCCTTTCCTTTGGTCTGCAGACAAACAAATGAACATCTTTCCTCCTCCTGTTTCTTGTCTGAACAGGAAAAGATAAATTCTCCTGTCTCCTTTTTACCTTCTCCCCCTCTCCTTCATCCATGAGCTAACTGTAAGGAACAAGGAAGAATTTTTTCCAAATTCTATGGTCTTTGTTAAGGCTGCAACAAAAAACCCTGTTTGGTCTTCATGCTAATTTCCTCACCAAGGTTTCCACTGATCTAGAGTCTGAGGCCTAGGGGAAAGCACTCTGATGGGCTAGATTTAGGCTGTGTGCAATTCCACACAGTTCCCAAACATCTTCCAGAACAAATAAAATTCAATTAAAAATATGCATAATTTGCCCATGGCTGACAACAATTAAGAGAGTGAAAGCAGGTGAAGCGATACCCATCAATTACTGTCAGCCAATATGGTAACTGGTTTATAAATAAAATGGCCTGGATGAAATAAATCTACCTAGTGAAAGACCTATGTAACTAAGGAATATAAGCAGCACACTTATAATTTGAGAAAAGCTGAAGTTCCAAAAACTGTAGAAAAATATTTCTCGAAAAAATGTTTTTTCCAACAGAGGCTTCAGTACCACCACTAAAAAAATGCCTTCTGGTAGAAAATCTACTGCAAAAGACGGTGAAGGACATGGAATGATGTAAATTAATTTTTTCACCCTGTAAAATAATTTTGTGACGATGGAGACCTCTTTGGAAGTCTTCATGAAAAGGGAGAAACTGAGTAAGAGAGTGGCACAGTACATTTACAGTCTAAGAGAAGTACCAGATTTTGAATCCTAACACATTATTTCACTCTGCAAACACACTTCACATGGATGGCAAAAACATCAGCCAACAAGGTGATCATTATGTGCTTTTGGGAGGCAAGGACAGATAAACATAGTGCAGCTGTCAAGTCTCTCTGCCAGTATTTTTAATAAAATTCAGAGACAGCATTTAGCATCACCCTCCTACTATTCCTTGTTGGCCCAGTAGAACAAAGCCTTTGTTATACTCTAAGCACAGTGATTTCAGCCGAGCTATTTATTCACTGTGACCTATTAGCACTCACATGATCCACTTGCACACAAAAGGTCCCTAAGAAAGAGAGAGAGAAATGACTAGCTCTTTAGGTTGCTGGAACAAAATAAAACAATGTACTTGTCAAAACTCTAATATTAACAGCAATCAAATAGTTTCTAAACTACATTACCATAGAAGAAAAATTGTGTCTATTTAATAAGTATCTAAAATAGTCCAATCCACTTTCCTTGTACATGCAGTAAGCCACACAAGAAGAAATTGCTGTATTTATTGATGTATGTTTGCTTTTAGCTGCACAAGTTTAGCAAATGCTAGAGAAAGAGGCTTAATGCATTAATCCTTGAGACAGTGGAAGGAGTCCTCTGAATTCATTTTTGACACCCCCAAAATAAAACACTGGGGGAAAAATAAGATCTGCTGGCACAAAAACATAGCTCCTTGTGTTTGCAGACTTTTGAAACAGTACACTGCTAACAATGCCCCAAGTTTATCAGGATAAATACACTGAGCAGAAAATTTTTAAAGTTTTAATCCAAAGTAAACTTAAAGCTGTAACAAAACCTACATTTGTTCTTAAAAAACCTTCCTTGACAGTGTCATTTGGGATATGGTGAAAAGGGAAGCAGTATATTATGATGCATTTCTGCTTCAGTGCTTAATATGTCCCACCAAAAATTCTCAAAAGGAAACTATACAGACAAGCTTTATCTATGTGTTATGTATACAACCGCCAAAACTAATCTGTTCTCAGAGGCTGAATCAGCAGTTCACTGAGAGAATTTCCAGTGGAGTGTCGTCTGAGTCTGACATGGATGCAATTTGTTCAAAGCCCTTCTGCTTCTATTTAACACTTCTACTTAAAAGGAACATGAAAGTAAGAGTATTTTCAAAAAACAGTCTGAACTAAAAAAGCAGAAAATCTTGGTAACATTATTAGCATACAAAATTATTTTCACAAATTGATAATGTAAAAATCCAGAAAATATATTTCAGTAAAGGAAAGTGTGTAGTGGTATGCTTAAGAGAATTCAAAAATACAAATGCAAGATGGAGAATAACCAGGTATGCAGTAAGTTAACAGAGAAAGATCAGCAATTATGGTGGATAACAACCTGAATTAAGTAAAAAACGTTACTAACTTTCCAAACCTGCAATTCTCATATTGCCATGCATTAATATGAATACCATCTGTACTGTGTAATATATAATTTTCTACTCTAATGTTATCCATAATACTGGTAAAGGCTGTCCTGGGTGAATATATCGAAGAGTTTGCTGTCGATTCAGCCATGGTCTGGAAGAAAGAAAATAGTAAAACTTGGAAAATGTTGACCACTGGAGGCACTTTGTTCTACAGGACCAATGTCTTCCTACACTAAAGGTTGTAATAAAGAGAAAAAATTATTTGTAACTTTCCATATTATCTGATAAGGCACCAAGATAATAGTAACTAAAAGTATCCAATTTCTAAAAACTGGAGAGAGGCAGGGGAGAGAGAAGGAATTTACAAAAACTCTCTGGAAATTAACTACTGAATATTTTATTACAAGATCTAGATCTTGAGCTTTTAACTGAAGGCAGAATTTACTCCCCCAATCACTACTTACCATTTGTCACTGCATTATAACTTTTTCATGGTAGTCACTATGAAGTTCTAGCTCTTGAACATCTGTAGCTCTTGAACATCTGTTCTTTCAAAGTACAGAAATAAGCAGACCACCAAGAAGTCTACTTGCTTGCTCTATCTAGAAATACACCTCAAACACCAGCTATTTGGTAGTAATGTTTTTTACTTGAACAAGAGCCCACACCTGTGCTAAACTTAAGACTCCTAAATATGAGTTAGTTCAGAGGTGCCTCTGCATTCCCCTGAAAAACACCCCATGGTGTTCAAACTGCACAGGATGTCATGGTTGATTTATTATGCTAAATTTTGGCCAGGGAGATCAGTTTCCCCCTGGAGATCAGGAAGTGGGCACAGAACAGTATTTCCACTATAGCTATTTCTTCTCTTTAACAGAATGAGCTCTTGACCACTGCAACTTTCACTGCTCAAATCCCTTACATTCCTTAAAGACCTTTTTTAGAAATCAAAGCTCTGAAATGCCCAAAGACATTTTCACCTCAGAAGTCTGACATAACCTGAGCACGCATTAACTAACAGCTGCCACCTTTACTGGCCACAGTGACATACCAAGGTTAAATCGATCATCTGTTACTTTGTTTCAGTCCATAAGTTTATGAAATATTTACAAATGCTTCAATATAAATAATAGTAATAAATTTCAAAAGACAAAATATGCAAGGAGTCATAACTCTCATAGTATTGATATGTTACCATCAGTACCACGTTTATACATGTTCTTTGCCATTATTCCTTCTCCATGTGCATACAAGAAATCACCATCCTGCTTCTATGTCTAGGAAGTTACTTTGATAATAGCTTCAGGAAAAAAAACCCTAAACATTTTCTATTAAAATTATCCTGTTCCACTATTTTTTTATATTTGTGAAACATTATTAGCTTTGCAGTCAAGCTTTTAAGAAACATTTTTAACTTTGCAGTCAAGACAAAATGTTTGTTTACCAGCAACAGCAAGAAGCAGCATTATTTCTGGATTACCATTTGCAGTGGACTTTTTAAAACTGAAACGTGATTTCAGAAGAATTAGATGTGGCAAACACAGGGGCACTGACTGTTCAGATGTTCAGAAAGATGGATACAGTACCCTCTAATTAAAGTATTCCAGCTCTAATTTCACAGGGCAGTGTTCAGAGGAGCACTGTGCAGCCCTCACGATAAGAGAGATTCAAGTGTCTTCTGAAATACTTTAGGTATAGCATTAACATTCCTTGATACAGTGTATCTGTTAAATCTATCACTATATCAAATTTTCTGTGTAGGCTGTGGATTTAACAGGGTGACTGCTATACTTCTTTAGCCACACTGACATATGAGAGGTTCTATAAAACCTCATAGTGACTTACTCAAAGCCTTTCTTTTACAAAAAAAAAAAAAAAAAAAAAAAAAAAAGCCCTTTTAGTCAGACATTATACAACTGCCACTCTTCCAAGTAAAATTTAAAAAAAAACCCCTCCAACGTCCTAAAAACAATGAAACAAGCAAGCCTGGGCATATAAAAATGTGCACACCTGGATCAACTGGTTAAAATAAAAAAAAAAATTATATATATATTTTTATATATATATTTATATATATATTTTTATATATATATTTTTATATATATATAATTTATATTTTATATATATATATATATGGACTGCATATGGATTGTATACGAATATATATGATATATTTTATAAGCAATCTATATGAATGTACAGTTTATAAATACGTAATATAATAGATAAGATCCGTACTAATACAGAGACTATATTTAAGATCCATTTCCCCCTCTCCCCCGTCCGTCCCCACCCCCGCCCCGCCCCCGGCCCGCCCCGGCCCCGCCGCACTCACTTGATGACCGTGCCTTTGGCGCCCCCTGCCGTCGTGAGCATGACGCGCGTAGTGAGGCTCCCGCGCAGGTCGTCCTGGTCGAGGCCCAGCAGGGCGGCGCAGCGCTCCAGCGATGGCTGGCTTCGCGCCCGCGGCGTGCAGCCCCCTGCCGACAGACACACACACGCCGCGTCACGCACCGCACAGCACCCGCACCCCCCGAGGGACACACACGCACCGCGTCACGCACCGCACAGCACCCGCACCCCCCGAGGGACACACACGCACCGCGTCACGCACCGCACAGCACCCGCACCCCGCGCACCGCAGCACGGCAGGGCAACAGCCGCCAGTTCAGCTCTAAGGAAAATACTGGCCAGCGGTGATCCTACCCTGACCCTGCTGGTCATCGTCCACTAACATGTAATGTTACCAGTGAAGGTAATGTCAGCTTTGAAGGGATTAAAGGTTTGCTTCTGGAAAGTACTTCATATAGTTAAATGGGAAGAGTCAGTTTTGAAAACCCAAGAAAATACCACGAAATAAATGCAAAAACAACCCCCTGCCAAAAACTATGCACGTAATTCTATATTTCTAGAACACTGTCCAGGCTGTTCAAAAACCAACCTGCTCATAGGGAAGCACTATCCCAAAATGCAGAAGTGCTAACACCTACAAACTAGCTGTAGTGACTTAAAACTTCTGGACTTAGATATTCCTGTAATCCTCCAGGCCTCCTTGCTATGCAGCAGAAGTGCCTGGCATGGCAGACTCCTGCTATTTGCATTTTTCAGATAAAGGTATGTACACTTCCTAAGTAAACAGCCAAGAGAAGTGCTCCCTTTTGCTCTCTGCACCTCAGCCCTCTGTGCCAGGACTAGGCCAGCACAGATCTCCCAACTGGAGCACAAAACACTTTAGGAAAATCTAACAGTTATTTACATGTATTTCCTGGTTTTTTGCAGTAAGAATTTGTTCACAGTAAAATTTATTTCTACAGGTAAGCGAAGAGGCCAAAAGGGATAAGTAAGTAGTCAAACATCACTTGAATTCTTTCCATTCCTCTACAATGACACTCAAGGGGGAGGGGGGGGGGAGGGAAGGGAGTCCTTAAAAGTTTAAGGCTTTTGTGACTTAATTTTGGATGCTCTGAAATACCATCTGACTTGTAGAAAACAACTTTTGTTTGGTGTTTCCCAGAAAGCAGTAACAGAACTTGAGAGGGTCTCTGGTAAGAGACATACTGCCTGGAACAGCTGGAATGCACACCCTGTGTGAACACACATACAAGGTGAGAGCAGAATAAAGCCCAATGCAATGATCATTTCAGAAGTTCAATAATTTATTCCAGAAGAAAAATTTCTCTGAATTTCAGCATTCAGAGAAGATAAGTTTTCTGGTGACCTTCCCTTTTCTAAACCCTGACTTTCCTCACCATCCGTGGTTCCTCCTCTTCTTGTTTGTTTGCCTCCTGAAACTTCCTCTCCACTCACATTTGCACCTTTTTCACTCTGTTCCACCTTGTCAACTCCAAAGTCCCAACTCATAAAAGACCCAAACAGGGAAGCTCCCTGAGAAGCTTGCTGTTGAACTCCATGAAGCCATTACCCTTCTCTACCCCTGCATCTTTCAGATTCATTCACATTAATCATGTTCATTTCAGTCATTTTCGTAAAGATGGAAACATCATGAACTGACACTGGGGAGGTTCTGATTCAACCTATGGAAAGGAGATGAGGAAAAAAAACCAACAAAACAACACCTGCTCTGTGCCAACCCTAAGATACCCAGTCTGAATTCAGCATTTGCCCAACTGATGGGATTAGAGACCTCCCATGATCTCTTCTGAACAGAATGTTCTGTACAGTTCCATGGTGATTCTGTGCTTGGGGTCAGGAGCTAGTGAACCTGCAAGGCTAGTACTCATTTAACTCATTTAAAATACCTATTAAAATGTTCTTTGGTATGCCCTTCCAAATAACTTTACTAACAGCTATACATACTTGAAGCAGGACCAAGAGGAACCAGTATCTTGGAACTCAAGGTAAAGACCTAGATGCTTATATCTTCTACTATAGTTATATTTGTAGTACATCCAGACCATGAGTTTCTTCAGTCCTTCAGGAATATATAGACAGCAGTTCTCAATTTAGAGAGGCTGATTTCAGTAGTAAGGTAAGAATGACAATCCCCAAAATATCAATTCTCCTTCCTCCACTTTCCTGCACATTCTGCTGTTAAGTCCCAGCTACACCTGTACTAACTCATCTTGTGAGCAACATCTTAAAATTAGGAAGTTTATATTGCCCTAAGTTTTTGCTGTAACTTTTTTTTTCCTCACCTCTCAAAATACTACCATGATGGTATTCTTGGAAGCCAAAGGACATCATGCCTTTCCCTACAGATAGTTTCTAATTACAAGATATTTTCATGAGGTTAGTGAGAAGTTGGACTTTAAAATTATCACTAAAACACAAGTATGATTTTGAGACACAGAATGTCTCTTCCTTTATATTAAACTCTTCACTGAACATTTTCATTGAAAGCCTACTTGCTTTTAGAGCATGTAAAGGAGTACAATTTTAAAACAAGTAGGTAAACTTGACTTCAAAAGGGAGTGAATTAAGACTGAATTACCCTTGAACACAAAGCAGCTTTCTAAAGCCATAATTCACATGGAAAGGAAACATCTCTAATCAAGAGACATTTCCAGTCTTTTTACAGAAAACAATTTATGCTTCATCTAACCTGATGTACTCCCAGCTTCCTCAAAATCAATATTTCCAAGATGAAGGACACCAGCCACTACTCTAAAAAGATCAAGTTTTTCTTCATCATCCAGTCCAATCTTTTTCATTGCTGTGCACATTCTGTTGAAATCTCCATGATCATCTAACAGTGGATCCTTCAAGGAACCTTCTTTAAGATACTATAAAACAAGATAAACCACAAATTTAGTAAGCGATTTGAAGTAGGTAGGTAAATATTTCCAGTCAAGAATAAGCCATAAAGAAAAAGCATAAAAAAGCATGCCAAACTAGGTAAAAAGAGATTCGAGCTCTTCATGTAATACAGGCTTCGCAAGGACCCTAATTTATTTTAACTTGTTGATACTTCGAAGCACGATCTTCAAACTTAAATTTCAAAGCAAACTTCAAACTTATCTTCAGAAAGCAGAAGCTGGAGAATGTGACAGCTAAGGACAAGGGAACACAGGATAGCAAGCAGGAGAAAGGAAGACTTCAGCTAAGAGAGCTATCAAAGCATTTATACAAAGGAGTTCTTCGAATCCCAAGCAGTTGAAAGAAGATCGAGGTCCTTGTAGTAGGATGACAGAATAACAGGCCATGGGAAAGGACCATAGGACAAATCAGTTATCCCTATTCTAAACAGAATTATTTAGAGAAATGTACCTCTTAATATTTGCTGCTAATTAAGAAATAGAACTTGCAGTGGTCTATGGGTTAGAAGAATAGCAGCTATGTTCTGAAATACCAATTTAACATTTTGCTGATTTTTCTGATTTATATACATAGAAAGCTATTTTAACTATAAACGAGTTTAAACAGTAGATAGTAACACATCTGCATGCAATCAAGAGACTACCTGAACATGCACAGAGTGAGCTACGTTTTTACAGTTATTTTTAAATTTTTTTCAACTAAAAAGAATAATTAACTAAATAGAAGCCTTGTTAATGTCAAATAAGCTAATGTAATTTTTATCAAAACAAAACACCACATGCATCTGAAAAATTCACTTCACACAACATGTAGGCACATCAATAACATTAAACTACATGTTAATTATGTAAAATGATCACCTCATCTTCCTGATAAGGAAAACACAAAAATAATTGAAGTATTAATTGACTATTCCAGCTAATTTAATAAAATAAGCAATCTTAGTATTTTTTATAAAATGACAGAGTAAATACTAAATTTCCAATTTAAAAAGCTCAATAAGGTAATATATTTCCTGTTTAAATGGCTAGACTAGGTTTAAATATCATTGAACTTTGATCCTCTATTGAGCCTTCAAATTGATATACCTGTAACATACAAGTATTATTGTATCAGAAGTTCCAGTACTTTATGTTTTACATATATTTTCAGAATTATTCTCTACGTATGCTTTAGTTTAGACAACACTTATTTCAAAGTAAGTCTTCTCCTATTTCAAATTAGGTTTTTTAGAGGACAAGTTTTATGACAGAACACCCGCCTGTAAATCGTATCAGTAACAGAAGATTGCACAGGTTCATCTCCCAGTAGCAAGAGTAAGTGAATGTTGATACTCTATGCCTACATAAATGACCTGACCAGCGTCGCTACAAATCTTCATTTAAGGCAAATTGGGTAATCTGAGACAAAATCTCCAACCCATATCATAGCCTGTATGACTGACATGAACAAAATAAACTATGAGCTTTCTGCCTCACAGTAATGTAAAATCACTCTCCACCATCCCTGATTATAGAAAATAGCGTACGTTTAAGCAAAAGAAATCAGGATTATGTGCTCAGTGTTACAACATACAACCACTAGAAATCAAGGAGTAAACAATGCTGACTTGAGAAAAGGAAGTATCTATACTGTGTCTCATAGCTAGGCATGAGCTTCAAGCCCAAGTTATCAAAAGTAAAAGAGATGGCATGGTGATTTGGTGGAAAGAAGCTTTTGAGTAAAGTTATTTTTGTATTTTTGCCAATATATGCAGCTTATCCTGCTACAGAATCACAAATATGAATTTGATTAATATTTGAAATATCTTCCAGCTATACAAATGGATTTCACTCTTGAGGTATGAGTAGATGAAAATTTTATTAGAGAACAGAGCAGAAGTTTAATTATGTGTTTAAAGAACTTCCAATTCATATATACAATTAATTCAGAACAAATTCTTTAGTATCCTCATGTAAACAAGCTCAAAGGCTTAAATGCTAAAAAATCCTGGTAATTCCAGTTCTAAAAAAACATAAACAGAGATGGAGCAAGAGGACATAAATGTTTTTAAGTTTCACACTTTCTTCCAGGAAATGCCATGCTCTGACATAACTAGCCGTTAACAGCATGGGGAAAACAAAAACCATGAAAGTGTATCAAGGAGGAGAATATATTCATGCTTGAAGTGAGGTTGAGTTATAACTGATATCTGAAACAGTTTGGAGCATCCCTTCACAACTCCAGATAGTAAAAATGGCTCTGGGAAAAAAACATTGCTTCTGACTTATTCTTAGCAGTAGTAAGATTTTAAAAAGGAAAATTACAGAAAGTCTTGGATAGATTTGTGTTTTTCACAGAAGACAAGCTGCATAAATTAGTGTTACCTTATTATAAGAATGAAAAGGAAACCATTTTATATACACTGTTCTGCTTGGGATTTTACGATGCATGGTAAAATGTATTTCTAGGACTGAACTCCAAAACAGAGATCTGAATAGAGCAGCTTTGACAGTACCCATTAGACCTATAAAGATGTGTAAAATTCATTCCATTCTGTAAAAGTATAATAATTTTCTACTCTATCTGCATTAGTTAATAATATAAACTAACTGAAGATACAAACATACCTCAGGACTCTTGCGATTTTGCAAAATCTGTTTGTCCGTTTCTTTGTTAGCGAAAAATCTGGTACAGCCTCGATTTAAATACTGTAACAATAAAAAAGTGGAAGTGGATACTTAAAGACAGAAGTAAGGAAAACGTATGCTTTTATTTAAGGCTTGCCCTACGTAGCTTGATTTAAACATATGATACAAACAATACAGTAAGTAGTCGGAATTCATTCCTTACAAATGTGTTTATTTACATCTACAAAATCAAAGAACTACAACGGTAACAAACTTCTGTTGAAAGCTTCTTCATTTTGATAACTAAAATACTTTTTGACACATTGGGATATTAATTTTTTTTAAGTCACACAATATTTTCCTAATGTTTGGTTCTATTAAATGTATTAATGGAGTCTGGGATTACATAAAAGACACCCAAAATTAGGAACAAAAGAAATTAATCTTCTGGCCTATGTATAATACCAAAGTGATCTATTTCACCAGTGAAATATTTCTATAAGAGAGACATAATGTATTCAAAAACCTGAAGAATATTAAAAGCTTGTAACACGCTATAAGCAGAAGCCTTATTCAAAACGTGGCTTCTGCTATACATCTCATGTTGTACAGTAAATTCAGATTTACTATTCAGTAAATCATAGTGAATTTAGATTCAGATAATGACTGCCCTTTTCAGCAAAACAGGATTGCCAGCTTTTTCTTTCAGATTTGTTCAGCTGAATGTAAGAACTCTGTCCAAAAGCTTGGACAGAGCCCTTTGTCTAAAGGAAGTGAACTGATTCGTTGCTCTTTGGTTGAACAAAGATGATGTTTTCAACTAGCTGAACACAGACAATTCTACACTTTGATTAAAATTTATATGCAAAATTCTAAAACCTCAAAATATTCTTCAAAGCATTTCTAACAGTAGAAGAAAACATGGTGACAAATTTAATATTAAAACAAAGTGACAACTGTTCAAAGTTAGCTTTGAACACTGAAAAGTGTTCTTTATCAGCCAATAAGAATGCAAAGCACAGCATATTTTAAACATGATATATCCCTAGATTACAGTATTAGTAACACGATCCCAGAAACTGGGGATGGGAAGTGAAAAAGGTCATGATCTTCAAGAAGAGAGTGTGAAAACTTATCTGACTGGCTGAGAATGTGAACCAGCATGGTATTCAGTAATAATGTAGGATACATTTAATCACAAGATAATGGCTTTCATTGGAAAGCTAAAACCTGAAGTAAATTTACGTACTAAATCAGGGAGAAATTATATTTTTAAAAGCACACAAATACACAGCTTCAGGTTAGCATATAGAACATCTAAATACCACTGTACCTGGGCTTTGGTTCATTTGGGGTTTTTATAATGAAGTACAACATCCCATTATAACTTCAGCAACCCGAACATAGGGCAATCTGACCTCTCTTCCTGAAATTTAGATCTGAAAAAGTTCAGCTTCAGCTGAACTGTACTCCAGGTACAGATTTACTGTGCAGCTTTACTTTCACAGCCACGTGGTGCAGCCTAGGGCACCTCAATCTACAATGTTCAGCACAGGGTTACCTCATGACTTTGAATTTCTGAAAACTTTTGCAGAGGAACCTAAAACACAAGCACCCAGTGTACTTAAGAGAAACCAGGCTTGAGTCTTAGAATTCAAGCCGGCCCTAATTTGGACTGACTTTATAAGCTAAAAGGCACAAGTGGCACAATAGGGATGAGTTTTTTTAAATAATCAATTTTAGAGTATGAATTTTTAATTAATGGGGGTTTTGTCAAAAATATAGCATTAATATGAAAACACAGATCAATCATCAAACCTTGCCTAGTATAATATCACCATCTGTTGTTGTTGTTGTTATTATTATTGTTATTGAAAGATGGCATTTCTATGAATTCTGAACCAGTCAACAAAACATGGTAAATAAAAAGTGACACAAGCATCCTTATTCAAAACCATTTTATGACAAAACCTGAAGCAGCAAATGGGAATGAAGACATAAAAAATAATCTTGACAAAAGAAATACAAATTTAGGAAGCAAATTAACCTTTTACAGTTTTGTTTTCCTAAAAGTCTCCTATAAAATGATACGTGATGGAAATTCAGTGCAATTCAACTAATAAGCTTTAAGTATATTTATATTAATTTACATGCATACAAAGATGAAAATTATCCCAAGGGTTTTTTTAATTAATCTACTTTAAGGGGGAGAAAAAACAGTGGTAAAATTTTTTCATTTAACATGCAGAATGGATCTTTCACATGCCAGGAACTCAGGATTAAAATACTAATTTATGGTAAAGCAATAAATCTTCTTAATGGAAATTAAAGTGCCCGCTGCAACCTTAGTAGAGGTAAAAAAAGAAAAACGTCACGGTGTGATAAAGCTGGTGTGACTGTAAACTCTTTATAAATGAAATATGCAAGTAAGCATCTTCTGTAAAAGAACTCAGGCTGTTCAGTGCTGCACTGCACCAGCCTGATTTTAAAAAGGTTATATATAATTCTGACCTTGACATCTGCAACCTTGGGGGCTCTCATGAGCAGAACTTTTGATTTTAAAAAATCCCCAAGAGTGTGTAGTGAGCAGATGCAGTTCCAGAAATAAAAATCTATTAACTTCATAAGTTTTAATGGAAAAGTGGCTGCACATTAAAAATACATATTTGAAAATTTGTTCGAGATTTTAGCTTTAAAACATACAAGAGAATACTGTGCAGAATAATTGTGCAGTAGAGAAGAAAATTTTGAAAACTAGCTCTGTATTATACAAAAATAAGAGGTGTTGGCTGTTTTTAAGTATTGTGTTCATTGGGCGTTTCAAAAGAAAAACTTTCCTTCTAGAGAATGGAAGCAGTTCTTTCCTAATAAGCATCGGATCAAGTTTCCGTCACACAACTGAGTAGAGATAGATAAAACAGAAAAAGATACAAACTAAATAGTTAAAGAAATAATGTAAGCTCTATGAAGGCCCCTAGGAACGCCTTGAGAAAGTAAGGAACCTGTCCTAAAATACTGCCATGGCTTTTACAGAGCAAGATCACCTTGATGCCACAGTACAAATGTACAATGTTGCAGCAGCAACCTGTTTGGTCACCAGCGTACACCCACCTTCCCCACAGCGAGTGCTTTAAGTTAGGTCTCGCCTATGCAACCCCCACTTTGCACAAAGCTAGTAGGAACTTTGTATATTTTAAGGTTCTAGCACTCTTGGAATTCTGATGAAAATGAGTACAAAAGATATTAGGAAAAGTAATAGATAAGCACAGTCCAAGTTTTATTTAGAAATCCAAGTAGGAAGATACATCAACAAAGAAAACAATCTACACACTAACATATTTCTTTGTTAGCAGTGCTTCTCGTTTAAGATCAAAGAGGTCTAAAAAGATGACAGTCATTTAGCTTATGTCCTTGTAATTCCACACTGTTGTGTTACAAAACCCTTCCAAACCCAAGGGATTTGGTCTGTGTATTTTAGAAATACACAAAATTCTGCTTTCATGACATTCCAAGCCAAGCATAAGGCAAGAAACGGTAAGAGATGGAGATAAATGACACAACATAACCAAACAACTGACCAGTAGGATTTGATTTACCAATTATCATTCTTTTCAATGCAAGTCAGCAAAGCACATGGTGATATTTATAGATATTTCAAGTAGATAGTTCAGGTGTGATTGTCAGAAAGAAAAAAAAAAGAACCAAACAAAAACCTAATGATTCATTTAAATGTAATTAAATAGCAGGAATGAGTAACTGAAGGCAAGAGTTTTCAGCTTCTTAGCAAAACTGGTGATGAGAGTATAAGATGTGAATAGGCTTGGAAGGACCCTGAAAGGGATGGCAGAAGCTTGTTTTGGAAAGAAAAAGAAGGCATAATCAGGGGAACGATGAGAAACAGCTGTATCAGTAAAGCTGCGCTAGTTGGAAAAGCATTCAATAATGTCCTTTTCTCAAGGAAAAAAACCCTGCAAGAATCGAAATGTAACATACGGAGAAATTAAAATATAATATTAAAATAAGGGACGTGGTTGGAAGTCACTCAGGCAAACAAAAAACAAAAGAGAGGAAAAACTGACAAGAAGGGAAAGAAAGCAAAAGGAAACCACGTTATTTGTCTATCATGACTAAAAACAAGTGAAATCTGAACAAAGAGAAGGGGAGAAGAAAGAAGAAAAGTTGGAGGAAAAAGTTAAAAGTTAAAGTGCAGCAGTAAAAAATAATAATAATAAAGTAGTGAAAAATGGGAGGAAAAGAATGCAAGAAATTAATGGTAGGAGAGAAAGCCAACCTGTCTGTTGGTTTGCTATTAGAAACATAACACAGAATCAGGGTTAATCAGGAGAAAACATATAATCTCAGAAAAGGCAAAACCCCTACCTAAAAATAAAGTTTTTAGGACTTGAAATATAGATTACCCACAGAACAGTTAGATCACAATCAAGAAATTCACACGTTATACCTCTAGAAGAGTCCATAACATCATTACTAGCAGCTGGGTATGCAACAGTACATGTTCTGGAAAAGCAAAGATTCCTCAATTTTATGACAGAGAAAAAGCATAGGAATTCTTCCAGTAAGGAAAAATGTCAGGCAGCTTTATTTGACAAAAACAAAATATAATTTTTGTAATAGCAATGAGTCTGTTCAAGATAATACATAGAGATTTTAGTATGATCCATATGAAAAATCCACGTATGACAATATTAGAAGCTTTACAAATGCTGATTCTGATACTCACCCTAAAGTTGTCAGGAGAGCTTAGATATAGTTTTTCCCTAATGTCTTCTGGAGCACCAGCACAAAGCCTGTAAAAGATATGATAATTCCTCTCTTCTTTGCCTTGCACACAGATCCTAGATTTCTCCAGAAGGTAGTGTGATACAAATCCACCAACCACCGAGTTCTAGGAAGAAGAAATATTTTTCTGATTATCTGAATATTTTTTGGATTATTTGAGATTCAGTTTTTCAATATACGTTTGTCTGATCACACTGCTCCAAAGAATATTAAAATATCTCTACACCTAATACATACTAAGATTAGAAAAGAAACCATTGCCTTTACCGTAACTTCCCTCAGCTCATGTATTGGGTACATATACACTCTTAAAACAAAGATCTGCTTCACCCTAAAAAGCAGAAATCCTTAGCAGAATTCCAGTAGTTGCTGCAAAGAGCATTGCTACAGCAATCCTTTCACTTTTTGGATGGCAGTGCTATTACAACCTTCTCTAATTGCTTTTCAATGAGACACTTGTAAAAGAGAAGGAATGGTTAAAATTATAGAATACATATCTGGACAACATCTTAGGTGAACCAATTATGAAAGAACATTATTTCCCAAAATTTACACTTCTTTTCTGAGATGGAACACAGATTTTGAAGGCCATTTGTTATCTGGCCTATGATAAAATTCCCTGTGCCTAGAGAAATCTTAATAGAAAGGAAATTCCTAAACTTAATGGTCATTACAGCAACTAAGAAGGGCTTACTGACTGACAGATTTGAGTATGGTTATTCAGTCATTCACGAGGTCTTGGTTTGTACTCACATTGCTTTGAGAAATCAGACCTAATAAGGTGACCACAAAGTAAAACAGGGGCTCAAGTAAACAGGCTGGTCTTGCAGTGGAAAACTGAAACAATTTTTTAAGCAATTTCTGAAGATACTAGTGCTGTTTGCTTCAGCTAAAGCAATTAATCTGAAAGACCATGTAAGTGTTGACAGATAAGTTGACAGATCATGAATGCATCATTTCAAGTAGAAATCTGGATCCTTTCCATAAGCTTATTAACATGAACTGGACCAACAGATAAAGTCCCTCTACCTAGAAAGGAATTTAGTTTACTATCTAAACTATTAGCCAAAGATCTGAAGTTTAGTTACAAAACCAAGTATGAAAACTTAGGAAAAGACTGCAAGCTCAAGACCAGATAATAAGCTTAAATTCTGCAGGTAAAGAACAAATTCTTTCAGTTCCTCTGTCCTCAGTCAGAAAGAGGAGGAGGCATGTACAGAATCTCTACAGAGATCATCAATAAAAGTCTTCAACTTGGACGTACTGGACAGACATACAGTCATCCTTAATTGTGCAATACATACACTACCCAAACAAAACTACACCCAAACAAAGAAAATTTTTCTTAAATTACACAGTATTTCTGTCAAAAAACAATTCCTTGACTTCTGTCACATACATGTTACTATGTGAGGTCCTAACATTTCATAAAAATACATTAAAAAAAATCAACAATTCATTTAAAGCTAAAATACTTTAAATCTAATATGCAACTCACACTTATTTGTGTACTAAAGGAATGTATGTGAGTTATTCTTTGTATATGCCTTTTGGCAATGAAGGGACTAATTTTTAATCTTTCGTGGGTGGAAGTAATTTTCCTACTGACTTGAACCACTGCTTTCCAGTAATGACACAGTACTGTGTGGCTCTGGTTTTCCTTTCAAGGTGACAGAATACAAATCACATCTGTAAAATAGGACAGTAGCTATTTGCTGCAAGATTAATAAGTCTATTCAGCCTTCTGCCAGTTTAGCGTTTCCATTTTATGAGAAAAAATAATCACTGGTTATTCTGTAACAAGCTCCCAGTACCTTTTCATTGAAGTGGATTTCAACAAATTTCCCAAAACGACTGCTGTTGTTGTTGCGAACAGTCTTTGCATTTCCAAAGGCTTCTAATAGGGGATTTGCTGTTTAAAAAAATTAATTTTTGTAGTGTTAGAATCTGATCAATAAACTACCAAAAAGAGAGAACAAACACTTACCAATTATTCAGTGAACTTATGGGGAATAAGGTTTGAAAATTAAAGGGAAAATATTACTTATTAGGAATAATCCATTCTATAGATTTTACTAGATATATTGTGGTAGAACATAAAACTAGGTCCTTAGATATCACATAACACTGCAAAGTATTTTAATCAATACTATAAGAAATTCAGAGACAAATGCCAAAAATTATTCCGCTATGCTGTTCTACACAAGTAGGTAAATAACTAATACATAAACTATATGAGACAACACACAGTTTGACACTTCCTAGTTAGTTATTATTCATAAAATCTAAACTACCCACTTATCCCACAGACAAAAATGCCACTTAAATGTCATGCATGCAATGTATTAGATTGATTAGGGAATTAAAAAAAAAATTAGACAAGTGTGTTGATTTCAAAAACTACTTCAAACTGCCCTTTCAAATTAGGTCAGTTAAGTGATTGAGTGATTTTATTTTTTTTACTGGCTGTTAATTTCAAGCAGGTTAAAGCCCATACAGAAAGAGTGGCAGCAAGCAGTCTAACGCACATATATATATATATGAACACAAATATCATGCACCACTTAATCTGTTTGAAGATGCTTAGTAGTTATGAAACAAAGGCCTCTGAAAGACTGCATTTTACTAGCTTTGAAGATCAAAAAAAAACAGTTGACTGAATCTCACTAACAATAAGCCATTAAAAATATCTAAAAGATATTTTAAGGCTTCTAGCTAAAAATATGCATTGGAAACTAAGCAAGCAGAAACTCAGATTTAAAACTCCACTGACAACCATCTACATATCTGCTCCTGCAACAATTAAAGAATGAAGGAATAACATCCATGCTTGGATAAAGTATGGATGATATGGCATAATTTAGTAGGCCATAAGAATTAACATTTTTGTTTTGGCTAGATTTTCTCTGTTTTTAACTTAAAGCTTAAGAAAATACAAATCTGACTTCTTAAGAGATCTTTGATAACTATTCAGGCATTTTATGTAATATTAACTTTTAAAGAAAAGATAAAAACATATTGCAAGGGTCTTTCAGCTAGGTTAAATGTTCTCTATTAACACATATGCAATAAGCGTGGTTGTTAAACTTGTGCCCAAAAAACTTCAGAATTCATGCATCATATGCTGGTTTAGACTAAAAAACCCCAAACTCTTCGAGGAATACCTACAAGTACCAATTAATTTGCGTCGGGCATTATCCAACTCCTGACCACTTTCTGAGTTCCTTTAGCACACAGTGGATTTCACTAAGGAACTGCTTTAAGCAAACCGATGTCAACAAGAGATTAAAGCCTGCAGTACTTCTCTTGAACAACAGAAAACAGAAAAATTTAAAGCAAAAGAAAACGTGAACAAATTTTTAAAGAAAAAGAGTCAGGAAATTTCAAAATAAATTTACTATATGCTATGGAAGACTAAAACTGATATATGAGGCAATATTAGGTTGGTTGCTTGTTTTAGAGATGTTTGTATTTTCTCAAAAAATTATTTTTTGTTCAATTAAGAAGTGCATGCAACATTAAAGAGGCTCATCTAGATGATCAACACAGTCTCTTCTGACCTGGTTTGGAAGTCGATTATAAAGACAGATACAATCAAAGAGCTAATCTGAATTATGTGATTTCTGACAAAAAAAAGCTGTAACAGAAAAATGACCCTGAATTATAATTTAAAAGAACTTCCCTGTTTTATCTGACTTTGAGAACTTTATGGTGATTAGGAGGAATTGCACTTTCCTCGTAATAACAGATAGTCATGAAAACATAATTTTGTCCTTGCAGATTATATGCAGTTTAAAATCCAATCTTGGGTACATAATGTGTAAAGTTCAATTCAAACACACACTCATTTTCTGGATCAAGGACTGTATGATACTATAGTAAACAAAAATAAAGTGAAACACAAATAAAAAAATATTTTTTCAGAATCTAGGATGAAGGTCAGCTACCCATAAATTATGCCCTAGGAAGTCTGACAGTACTTATATCCTAGCTTTTATTCAGTTGCTGTTGACTCACACTTCTGAAAAAAATATAAGTGTTGGAACTTTGAGTTAAATGAAAGAAAATTCAGTACCTTCTACAATTCTGTCATCAATATCCTGGCCACTACCATAGGATTCTGTTAAATACCTGTAAAGCAAGAAAAAAAATTGGTATCGTTTATCTCAGATTACCTCAATTAAACAGGGTTAAGCATGGCTATGCACCATACTTACTAACCATTTACTATAGGGAAGGCATACTGAGTAAGTTCCAAATACCTATACATTTTAAAATAAATGCACTTTAACTTTTCTTTTTTGTTAAAACAAAAATATTCTTGCACACTTCAGGTTTTTTTCAATACTCCAAGACCCGTTAGAAATTCCTTTTAGACATGTATATGGAAATTACAGTTTTATACAAATATAATCAAACTATTACTCTACTATCTGTATTTCTTAATAAATCTTAGGAAACACATAAGGTTTCATGTCTGTTTCCCAAATTTAAGATTGTTTCCATGCATACAGCTTCTGTGTTCATAACTATCAGTGTTAATAAAAACCCCACATGGAGATGGTGAAGATAGGAAATTGCAGGTGCATAATTAAGGCAAGATTCAATTTAGCAACTGAAGAAATGATTTTAAATAAATTCACAACATATTTGCTCTAAAGTTCCAGCCTTTTTTTTTTTTTCTCCTTGTGCTCAGGACATGCTTTCTAGAAATTCACAAGTAAATCTGGGACAAGCTAAAAACAGATACTGAAAATAGGGCCTTCCAAAAAAATTTTAGAAACACTAACCGAGCTGTATTAGTACATTTTATGTTCTGATCATGCAAAGGTAAAATCATCCAGCTCTTAAAACTCAATTATGTTTTGTACATGGACTCTATGGGGGCGAGTGGTGGGGAGAAGCAACAGCAATGTTGCTTGTTGTGTGATCAGAACTTCCTTTGCTGAGAAGTGGAGGAACAACTTCCTTTAAGAGCATTCCTCAAGAGATATTCCAGTGCCAGACTTTTTTTCACTCTTAGCAGGACCAAAGTTGGGATGTCCCCTGTGAGAATCATTACCAGCACCTTGCAGTAATTCTTACAGCTATCTGTGAAAGACTGCACAAGAGCAGAGAAGAGCAGTATGACAGGCAGACAGACAGCTGGGACAATTCTTCCTCGGATGTGGAAGATAATAACTCTATATAAATACTAGAAAATACATGATGTCAGGAAAAATGGCATTAAAGATTTATAGAAGGAAACAAGGACAAGGTGGGGTGAGGGAGTGTATTCACGCTGCCCGCACTGTGCTTCCCTGCATAATTGAGTCACCTATGATATAGGTGTATTTAAGGAGCTCTCCAGTTACAGTGTTCCAGAGGGGTAAAAAGCACTTAAAGTATAATGCCAGTAAGTGGAAGCAAGACTGATATACATCACCAGTATGGCTTCCATAGAGTTTAAAATGCTTGACTTAGTATTGCTCATATACAAACATTAACAAATAAATAAATCCCATTGTTCAGTCTTATTCAGTAAACTAGGGTGAGGTGTATTACAGTTAAAAACCCTGGATACACAAGCAAACTAAAAAAAAAACCTAAGGCAGGAAAACAGAGAAATGCACATTTATGGCAAAACCAACGGTGTCTTGCAAGATACAGTTAAAATGTCTAGTTATGTTTTTTTATCTACCACAACACCAGATGTGCAATACTAAAATGCCTGCATCATAAACCATAATAACTACATGATGTCACTACAAGTGAGTTAAGGTTTCTGTAAGTAAGTAGCTATTTCCACGTATCATCATGTCAGCACTTAAGTTTAATTCAATTAATTTCTTGTAATAAAGTGCATGTGGAAGCTAATACATCTCTTACTGAATTGTGTCTTAAACCTACTGATTACCATTTGCTCTGTATGTCAACCAAATGCATCAACACAAGAGATTCACATAATAACTTTGGTCCAAACACACAAACCTCAGAACAAATTTAGTGTTTTCTGTCTTGCCAGCTCCTGATTCTCCAGAGACTATGATGGACTGACTCATCTTGAGCACTTTCATGTCACGGAATGCTTTATCAGCTTAAAAAGAAGAATACATAAAACATGACACATACTAATATTCAGCAGAATTGCAAGGGTAAAGTTGAGCTACAATGCAAAAATCAAAATGTAACACTTTTAGGAATAAAAAGTAAATCTTTACAATTAAATGCATTAAAATTCATTAAAATCTGTTTCTGTTTAATTTATAGTATAGTTGTTCATCTTCCAACCCGACAAATAAGAACTCAAAGGCCTGAAAACAAAGACCTACTCAACTATATCCAGGACAAAACAAAACCAAACCAACCACCTATAACTACATCTCTTGAATTAAATGTATTTACAAAATAGTAACCAATGTGGCTTTAGTATGTTTTTCAAAGGGAAACTTTCAGTTTCAGTACTTTGCAACAAGTAACATCTGAGACAATGAAACTTGGAAAAACATCAATTTCTTGCTATGCAACAGGTACTAAACTCCCAGCTATTTATACTTTTGATTACAAAACAAAATGCAAAACAATGAGAAAGCTTTTAACAAGTCAAATCTTAATTACAGTTTCCAATTATTTTTTTATTTAAAAAAGTGACTGAAATCGGATTTATCCCATAAATAACATTTCAATATATTTTCCATCTGTAACGAAAGCATATAAAAAGAAACAGTGTATGTGCTCTGGCAACATAATAAAAGGCAAAGAAAATCACTACACTGAAAGACAGTGCCAATCATTATTAAACCATTTTTCACTTGCAAAATCTGAATTTCTTTATTTCTTTTTTAGAGCTTTTTTTTTCTAAATGGTTGCAAATTAAACTGCTTAGACTTGAAACACTGGAGGTGCAGAATAATCATAAAAGGGTTGTCATGGTTGCTTATTTCCAAGTTCTTCAAACTGCATATTGAAGATGAGAAGACTTGCAATTAGTGGTTTTATTTTATAATACATCAAAATAAATTAATTACTGTTAGAGGTGGAAATTTATCAGTAACTGTGACATATTCCGTGTTTGTTTTTAAAAGACAAATACAGGTTCAGTACATACCAATGGCAAAAACATGTGGTGGCAATGTTCCAAGCGATCTACCCTGGTACTTTTTAATAGTATCTGAAGAATAAAACTTAGGTATATCAAAGTATGGATTCACTGCAATAAGAATGTTGGCTACATAGGTCTGTGAAGAAAACAATTAACATGAAACTATTAGCCAGTGTCCAAGCAAGTAGTTAACAGCACTTTTAACAACTATTACTATTGAAGACTACAGCCTAACTATAACAGTTGCATTTATGATTCTCTCCAGTAAATGCAGATACAAGACAGGACATATTTTTAGAGTTCCTTTTATTATCTTCTCATGACTTCTGTGACGTTCTCTTGGGAAAATTTGCTAACCACCAAGCTATGGACTATGTCCTGAATCTGACCTTTCTTCTAACCTCCTTTTAAATTATTTCCTATTGTCTGCGTTACTGGATCAAGGATAGGACTCCAAAACCTCCTCCTCAAAAGTGAATAAACTAAGCTCGTGGACAGCATAATGCACTGTCCTCCAGCGAGGAGGATCACTTTAAAATATCTAATGGAAGCAACTCAGCAGGAAGGACTGAAAGGATCCTGCCTGGGAATGCACTCAAGCAGGCAATAAAAGCATTCAGCTGAGAGAAAATTAGCTATAGCTGCTTCCACAGAGAGAAATACAGAATGCAAATGTTCTCTCACAGAGAAGGAATTTGAGAAGAATCTCAAATGAAGGCTGCTTTTTACCTTTCCACAGCATAAGGAAGACTGAAGAAAAGTTTTTTCTGAAAAAAACTTTCATAGCTTTGTTATAATGGCCAGATTACATACAGGGAAGAGGAGAGGTCAGAATCAAAGATAAAAGCATATATGCAGCAAAAGATCTAAAGAAAATGAGATAAACTTTCAGCCTGAATAACTTATTTGCTTTGTTGTTACTGAAATATCACCAGGCAACTGAAATTTGGACACTATTGTGATATGTTGATAGAAGGTTGAATCACTGTTTCTTAGATGTTTGTATTTTTAGCACTTATTTCACTGCAGGAAAACTTTTCTTCGAGAGCTGCAGGTACTAATATTAACTTTCCTTTTAATAACAAGAGAAATGCTGTTAACCAGGATTTAAAAAGACAGAAAACTGTTTACAGGGGAGTAAAAATATAAACCGGAAAAACAAAAAGTCAACTTTTTTTTCCCCCTCCAGAAAATACACCCACTCTGAATAACATATTAGTAGTACTTGTTTACAATGCAGAACAGCTTTATGAACTGAAATACTATCCTACCTCATAATCAGTTCAGATTCAGAATTTTACCTCCTCGGAGGTTTATTGTTTGGTTAGGTTTTTTTAAGGATTATTTTCCCAGAACAGCATTCAAATGGCCTTTTTTATTTCTTTATTTTAAAACCAGGGCTTGATCTTGGGACATAAAAAATTTATAGCTATGTAAATCAACTGCAGCAGAAGAAAACAGCTATACTTTCTTTTTATATTTATATAAAAGGGTTTAACTAAATTAATTTTACAGCAGTATGCTAGAAGTTGATTATTTTAACACAGACACTTAAAAAATACGTAGAACTGTTCTGTATTATCCCTAGCCAGCTTTCTATTAGACAAAAAAATAAGAAAGAAGGAAAACTCTTATCTTCTGTTTCACAGCTGTCAATGTCCGGGCAGATGGCAAGGACAAAATGTAATTTAGTCAGAATTCATTAAGTACAATTAGGCAATTTGATAGCAATATAAAAGATTAAGATGGACATCTGAGCTAGGAGGTGTCAAAGACAGCACCTGTTTGCTTCGTTCAAAAATAATGAAGAAAGAAAACCATCTTTGCTAACAGTGAAGTAAGGTACCTGTAGGAACAGAGCTTTGTGATACAAAGCAGTGCTATGGTTGCACATGAACAGTCATGTAGAAAAAAATGTATTGCTCTGCCTGGTAAAAATTAGCTAGCATTATTGTGATTAATGTGATTCTGATCTCAAACAAAGTATAATGTAAGGAAAAAAAAGGTGCAAAAAAAGGCCTACAACTTCAACATTTCCATGTTAGCAGTCCTGTTATAAGAAAAAAAACAGAATTGGAAACACTTGTTGAATGTTTGAAAGGACATCTATATTAGACTGGTTCTCATGACATATAATACTTACGTAAATTCTGTCCTTACTGTACCGAACTTTGATATTGTGAAGGAGAGTGGCCTCATTTAAATACATCAGGGAACCTGCAAGTAAAAGACAATCACATACCATTAAGAGCTCAGGAGTACCTTCCTGTACAGACAAAAACCTAAATTTTAAGATTACGGAGAATTTTACTTCCCCTCTCTTTGGTTACGGTTTAATCCTATCATTTCCTTACATGTCTTGAGGCAAAACTGCTGACTCAATATACACTTTAAAAACCACAGACCTGCTCTTTACCGTACTGAAAGTTGCAGAAGAAAAAGCCATACTGCAGGAGCCTCAACACAGGCTCTGCTCAGCGTAAGCTCCTTTCACCAGCCTGTCAGTCAAACACTGTGCATCTCACTCCATGCAGACCTCTAAGCACAGAAACTGCTGCCTACCAAAATCCCTAGCAATGACTGTCCTTCCTTCCAGCTCCCTTCTCAAGTCTCAGCCACAGTGTCCCCCAGGGTACTGCCACCCAGCTGACCTTTAGAATAACAGCTAGCTCTGGGGATTGATGGATATAAACATCTAATTGGGAAACACTGTCTGGAGGCAGCAGCAGCCATCATCGCAACAGCAGGCACCAACCCCACCTTCCCTGCTTCAATTCTGAATTTTGTTAGTACTAGGCCTTCTCAGAGAAACTGTTAGGGGAAAAAAATGCTAACACACCAAACCCTAGCTTTATTTTTCTCCTTTGTTCTTTAACAGAAAACACCTGAAGTAACTGCTAAAATATACATAAAATATATATAAGGTGGTGGCTCTAGGCAGCAAGTGACCATCCACAGAAAGCTTCAGACCATACAGGTTTACATTCCAGCAAACCTGGTTCTTGTTTTCAGCTATAAAGCACTCAAAAGTGTCAGATGCCTTAATTATAGAGGTAATTTCCACTTCCCATTGTAACACTGTTAAAAACATTATCCCTAAACCATCTGAGGTCACTACTCATTACACAGTCTCCATTTTCAAATATGTGCAACTCTTTTTATCTTGCTGCTTAAACTTCACATGCACAACACTGTTTTGTCTAGTTACAACTGATTGACTGCCATACTCGTAAACTTAACAGCATTAGCACCACTTTAAAAGCTGTATACATCTGAATACTGTGGATGGAGTAAGCACTGTCCTGTGATGTCTCTTCTTTTTAAGGAAAGACTGGAGGTGGCACTTAGTGCCATGGTCAAGTTGACATGGTGGTGTTAGGTCATAGCTTGGACTCAATCTCAGAGGTCTTTCTCCACATCATTGATTCTGTGAATCTGTAATAGCAACTTCTACCCTGTATGTTACACAAGGGTTACATACGCACCTCTCATCTATAATGACCAACAAAGTTGTTTGAAGTTGAACTGATGCCCTTTCTCAAGGGCTTCAGCAGAAAAAAAAAATTATTCCAACTTATTTACACAAACGTTTAAGGGCTACCAGTTCATTGACCCAAAGTCAACCTGTGCAGCCACCTACACAAGGATGCCTGAAGTAAAGTCAGGTTCACCAGCTGTTTGCAGCCTCCCTTTGGCTTGCTTAGCTCCACTGAACCCTTCCTTCCCTTACATGACCAAATACAGCTTTGCTTCAAATGCCTGGAATCATTCACGATTCTCAAAGGACCTTGCCACTTCTGGATTGGTCAGAAGAAACCATCTTCCTCCACAAAATCCCTTGCACTCACATTCCTGTGTTGGCAGAGGCACACAAGGCACACTTTAGCTTTACACTAAGCAAACTCTTCCTCTGGATTACAACAGCCTTTAAATCATGCCTGTGCACAATTCCTTCATGAAGCAGGAGGGTGGCCCCCATCACCATGGCTTTTCCCTTGCCACCACAGAAGACACACATTCCCACACAACCCCACAGTCTCTGGTAGGTGCAGCAATCAAGTGCAGACACCCAGCACTGCACAGCAGGACTAGTCCTCCCCTCCCCAGGCACACTCAGTTCACATGGCTGAGAAAATGGCTCTGGGACCACAAATCGCAGGTCTGCCTTCACCTCTTTTAATGAGATCATCCCAAGAGGAAGAGACATTAGAAGGAAATGGGCCAGAAACAGAAACTCCGGTTTGCTCTAATGTAAGTTAAAGTTTCCTTCTCTCCCCCTGTATTGCCTGGAAGGAAACAGGGTGTTAAAAAACTAGCAAATTTCAAAATTAAGCCATTTGGATTCTCAGTACTGAGGTGAGAAACAATTCTCCATTGACTCCCTTGACTGTGTGTCTTCATAATAACCTCTCAGGGTTTGCAGTGATCAGTTAATCATCAACTTTTTATTAGCATGTTTATCTGAACAGCAAAGGAACCCAGATTTCATTGTGTCCCCAGTACTCTCTTTACAAGTCCTTGTTAAAGCTGTTATACCTGCAGACTCAGGGAGCAAATGGGAGCTTGCTCCCAAAGGGAATGTCACCACCTCCGCTCAAGACATGCAAACTAGGGCTTATGACAGCAGCTTTGAAACGCTTCTCTAGAATAAATCCTTTAAAAGAGGCATCCATATCCAGAGGCAAAGGAAGTCACCAGGAGAAAGAGAGAGAATTCTGAATATTCACATGGCTCATGCCTAAATATAGCCAGTGTACATATGTGCATTCAGTTGCCCATATATTTACTTATACACACACACTAAGTTCACATAAGTGAAGAGAAGCGCTAAAAGCTAGGAAATATCAATGTCAAATTTACTCAAATTGGCTCTCCTGGCACACACAATGAGTCAGGGTTTGTATGGAAAATTATTTTATCAAGTAATTGCAAGGCTCTGCATATAGAGAACTGGCGGTTTTCTTAAGAGTCTTATCCGATACCCTGTCCCCCTTCATTTTTTTTTCACTCCAGAAGTTTAAAAGAAATTAATCTTTTTCTTGGCTATTAAAAGAAATTCCACATATGGTAACATGTATGAGTGGGGCCTGGGGGGATCCAAAGAGGAATGTGAATCGCAAAAAAAGGAAGTAAATGTGTTGTCTCTGTACTGTTTGCAATATTTACTAAAAATTCTCATTTAAGGATGGGCTTGATAGTAAGAAAGGTGTCTCTTGCAGCTAGTGCATTTGGCACATGGAAGACTAAGGGTGCAAAAAGCAATACATCAGCAAATTAGTTCCTAAAAGGGAGTTAATCAGTAAAGTATAGCTTGGAATGATAAGCATATTATTAACTAGTCTTTCAGGATTTTTTGGAACAGTATTACGAACACTAAGTATGGTTTTTTTCTTAAAGATCAATAACACTCAACACAAGTGCTCTCTGACAGAAGGAGAATGAACTTGGGATTCACGCATCCTGCAGGTAAACCTCAACTAGTGAGCACCAAGTGAAAATACATTAGAAAAGTCAAAATAATGTTTGATTCAGATAGGATTACTGGAAAAAAGTATTTTTATCTTTTACTTGGTAAACCAAAGAAGACATTTTCTCTGACTAATTTAATTGAACAGTGTTCTGATGCAATCTCAAATTATTTCCATAATCTCATTCCAAATTTTGATTCCCTGACCATGACACTGAAGTGCCAAGTAAAATCATTGTGACAGATGCACAGGTTAAATGCATTTCCCTAACAATCATTAAGTGCAGAGAATACAGACACCAACTTTGAAAAATTTCAACCCACATCCTGTTTGCAAAAATATAAGCAACTGAAATCAAGGCTACCAGCTTGGTTCTAATTATAACAACACTGCACCACCTCAGTCAGATCATAAGACTCAGATCTCATCTTTTTGTTCCTTATGGAGCAGCTGTAACAGCTGTATTTCCTGCCATGGGATATAAATACTAAACCCTATTCCAAGACAGGAATTGGTGTTACGTCACCTAAACAACTTTCAGACTCCTAGCCTCTATTTTAAATGAAGAACAATAGAAGATACTTTTGCTCACTATTTATGAAGTCCCCAGTATTTTCACCAAGCAGTAAGTACTACAGGGAATGTTAAAGAGATTTGCCCTCATCAGATATTCAAGACAGTAGACGCTCTGTGATTTGCAGAGCAGTAGCAGCAGCAAAATATTTGTTTAAAGTTCTCTAAAAGCTGATGATAGTGCTTAGTCAGCTTTCTTGGTATTCTCTCCCTCTCCCCAGATTTGACTAGTTTTCATCCACCTAACTGTAAAATATTGAATGAAATAAAAGCCCTGCACATTAACAGTGAATTTTATTACACAAGTTCACCTCAAAACTCCTTCTCCACCAGTACTCCTGTATCCACTTCAACTGTTTTCTTTCCCAGTGGTCCTGATAGGTCCACATTCCTGTCTCCAGTTTTGGGAAGGTTATTTTAAAATTTATTTTCCATTACCTGTACTTCCACAGGAATGCTATCTGAGAAATGTCGTACATGCAGGAAAATGCTGTACAATACAGCTGCTGATAAAGCAACTAAGTCTTTTGCCACACTATAAAAAATTGTTAGACCCATAATCTGAATGCAGTATTTCTGAAGTCAAGTAACAGTTGTATATGGGAATAATGTGACTATCCATTCCTCTAAACTGTTCAACTGAAAATTAAAAAGCACAATAAATTATATTTAAAATAGGCTTACTTTAAGAAGTTTAAAGGACTAGTAAAGGTCATACATAAATTCAAGCAAAGACTACAAGGAAGCAACAGGAAGTTTGTAAGGAAACAATATTCTCTTCATTGCAGGTTTTTTTTTTCAAATAAATAATTTATTTTTAAATTCATAACTTACAATTATCTTCTACATCCTTTTTGCTATCCTCCTCTGCAGGAAACACTTGATTGATAGCAGCTTGGAAGGTCTGTTAGATGAGAAACATTAACATTGTCAGAAAATAAAATACAAATATAGTTCAAAGATATCGCATGCAATGATACAAGTCAGTGCACTGTAATTGTGCATGATTTAAAATTAAGTTGCCAGCTTTATACTTCAGAAACGGAAATTTTACGAAGTGACTACATGCAGACAAAAGCTGCTGCATTTATATTACTACATGACATTATAAAAATGAAGTCACTGTAATACACATTTTATTGCAATAATATTTGCATGTAATAATGTGCAATACAAAAAAAAAAAGAGACTAAAAAAGTACTGCAAAGGGAACAACATTGTAAATAACACACACCTTCCTCAGTTTTTCAAAGAAGAAGGAACAAAATCCAAATTATTAGTTCAGTCAAAGGACTGTGCTGTCATTATCATACTCTGTTTTAAAATATTCCTACTTAAAATATAAATGTTCGATACATAACATCCTCTGTAACACCAAATACTGTAGCTTTGGTTGTTGTTTGCTGGTGGTTTTAATTCAATAAATCAATACTAAAGTAAAACAAGACCTTCCTTCAACCCCTGTATTCCAGTTATACAAAACAGCCATTTATCAAGTGTTCACATCCAACTGCAAAAATTCATAACAAAAGCAACTTTGTTTCTTCTTTCCTCTCTAGAAATCATAATTTATATTGTTGTAAAAAGGAAGGAAAAACATCCCAGCACATACGCATTACAGCATCTGCACAAAAAATACCTATTGTACAAGGGAGATTTTTAATTATACTTTTCTGTTTACTGTAGTAATAGCTCGTTTGCACTAGCTATGAATGAACAAAACCCCTGTTGTGCCAATTAAACATGACAGCCGCCATGCCGCTGCAGGCAGAGGCTCCTTTCCCCATGGAAATGGAGACAAGAAGTCTAGTCTCATACTTGAAAAGGCAACCAACGGGATCTAAGGAATGAATTTAATAAACAAACAAACATGTTTGCTTGTTTAACACTGTACTCAGCAAGGTAGTGCCCTGAGAAACATCTCGCAGGGAAGTTTAGGAAAAAGACAGCAACTTGGTTCATATTTGCTTCAGCACTATATGAGAGCGCTTCTGGGGCTTACACCATCATGAACAGCCAGAAATTCCAACTCCCTTTGAAGGGGGAAGGGTTAAAAATGTTTCAGAGCAGAACTAATTGCTGCCAGTCAGAAAACATTAAATCTACTTCCCTACAAAGTTATCATAAGGTATGCAATTTGCAGCCATAATAAAATGTATTTTGTCATCTCCTTATCAGGATCTAATGCAGAAAAATATGCACAAGAAGCTTTCCTAAGGGAAATGGAGCTGCTTGCATTGCAACATCTGAACATCTGTCAGACCAACTTTCTCCAAAATATCCTTTAACAGAGTCTGGCAGAGCCGTGGAAGCCCTGAACATCTTTACCTACCTCAGAAAGTTTCCAGCTGCTATTCAGAGTTTTAGCAGAGCAGAGATTCCCCACACACCCTTTTCTCCCTCTCACAGTACAGCAGTAATAACACATCATCATCATTATTTTCTCTACAAGTCTACCAACAGTGAAGGTATGTATCATTGGGTAAAGATATATTTGAACACAACAGTTACCCTTTGCGTAAAACAGTGGGAAAGTTTAAAAACATGACCGACTTCATGAAAATATAACTTCATTTCTTGTTCTTGTCTGCTGATGTGTAACCACTAAAAATGACAGACTTTTTTTCCACAGGAGAGAATGAACACAATAACCAGCTATTCTCTAAGACTCTTCATAAACCTCTGATATTTTAACATTTGTGGAATTAAAGTCAGCCATGCTAGAACTATCCCAGAAGAGGAAGAGCTTTTTCAACATCCTCACCACTCAGCCTTCTGATTCAAGATAAATTTAAATGAGAAAAAAAAATAAGAGTTCATGCTGCATTATTGCCTCCATTTTTCATTCAATGTAAGTTATGAATAATTTTTAGAATATTTCAGAAGTGATAAAACAAAGCAAAATGAAGACTTATCTGAAAGCTGATGTTTTCCTATTGGATTTTTTTAGATAAGAACATAAGTCTAGTTTCAAAGTTGTCAGCAAAAAATTCACTGCTGTATGCCACAGTTCGAATACTGCTTTATGTAAGGTGATTACTTCTTATGTAGGTAAATATGATAAAGAAGAAGTACAGAGCTCCAAGTACTAAAACCTAATATTTTAAATAGGAAAATGAGCAAGGTATTCCAGATCTATCAATAAAAAAATGCAAAGAAATTCTTTACTATATTGCCCCATTTTTACTGTTTTTAAATGTTTATTGTAAGGAAAAAATGCTTCAGGTACTTGGTGGAAGACTTTTGCATTAAGCATAGCTTAGCACAAGCTTGTTCTAAGAAACTGGAGAGGGTATTAGTCTTATGAGACAATAAAGTGGTCTCAGGAAACAAAACAGGGTTTAAGGGGTTTTTAAGTGGGTTTTCTTCCCCCCTTTGTAAGGAACCAGCCCTTGAAATCCAATGGCAATCTTAACTATTCTCCCAGAAACTAGATGAGTGAAAAAAGATATCCTTCCATTCGAGCAGGATCTTCTTTCTACCATGTAATCCAATACGTGTAACCATGCCCTCCTTTATACCTTCCAGTTAAAGACAGGAGACCTCCCTACTCCCAGCTGTATTTCACAAACCAACCTAAAGCAGCACAAACGGTGTGTAGGACAGACAAGAACATCTCTCGTTTGCACAAGCAAGTTCCACTCACTGCTAAAAAAAAAACCAAAAAAACCAAAACAAAAACAACCATAAAAGAAATACAAACACCTTAGTTCAAAGCACTGAACTTTGGACATTCTGATCCTTACTTTCAAAGTACATTTATTCCTTTACACTTAGCCTGAAAAAATACCTTTCTGGTTACTCACAGCATACCAGAGCAGGTGCCCCATAAAGCGCTCTATGACCCTTCCGAACTGGCACAGAGCCATAAGGCACCTCTCAGCTGACAGCAGGAGGGATGTCAGTAAGTGCCAGCAGCACCTCACGCCTTCCCAATGACTGCCAGAAACTCATTACTGCTGATGCTCTAGGAAGTGCCTTCCCCCCACTCCTCAGTGCCCCATGGAGCCCAGGATGGCATCTCTTCCTAATCGCTTTACTCAGATTTGCTACCTCTAGGGAAAGAGTTAATTCCCTATTTGGCATTTCACTGTCAGCTGCCTTCTCTCCACTACAGCATCAAGGAACAAAACAAAGATATATGCAGCAACAGGATCTGAGAGAAAACACTACAAGTAGAAGTGAAAATGCATATCAGCCTTGCAAGCCAATGATCTATTTTTTGGGAAGAGGTTCCCATCATGTAACACATGCATCGTCTGTTCAGGCAACACACTCCTGCAGCTTGGATTATTGTTCCTCATACAGTGCAGGCTGGGTGACCCAGGTCCCCACCTCCCTTCAGACAGACAGCCTTGCCACAGAGCTCTAAACACTTGGCTATGGACTGCTGTACCCAAAACTGCTACTGCTGGTTTGTAAGTGAACCAGTGTGTTGGCCAACTACCTTCACAGAAACTGGGCTGGGTAACTTGATTTCATAATACAAAGCTATCTACCACCACAGTGACCTCAGCTTGCCACTGTGTGCTGCTCTCCTTTCCACTTCTTCATTTTTAAGGTGGATCTGTTCTCTGACCTCGTTTGCAGTGTCATGCACAGCTCAGAAGGCAGAACTGAGAGGGTGCCACTCTGCAACACCAGAGCTAGCTACGGGTGGGGCAGGGAGTGGGGATTTTAAGAGAATATTAAACTGCTGCCTTGCAGCATTTATTGCAGTTATTAATGACATAAAGTATAATAAAAGGCAATAATCAAACATATGCATACACATTTCCTTTTCAGCTTGTGACCTCTGGTAAAGCTACCAGCGCCTACGGAGAATACATATGACATGGTAATGACCCAGATTAAAAAATAATAATAAGTTACACCGCCCAGATATGTTTACAAGATCAGGTTACTCCTCTTCTCCCTGTAATTATCATGAGCAACTCTGGGGCTCCTGGATCACTCCTTACTGAAGAGCACTTCTGAACTATTATTTTAAGAAAACAAAGTTGATGATAAAGGGTATTAATGCTGACTACTTTAAATGAATGGCCTAAGTACATAGGAGCAGAGTTTTCTTAAAAAGACAAAAAGCAATGGGAAATGTTTCACTAATAAAAAAAAAAGGACTGAGAAGGTAATCATGAAAACTTTTTACTCCACGTCTGGAGTAAATATATGGAATATATTTACTTTGATAATTAAAAATATAGGACCATAATCTCTACAGCATTTAGACTGTGAAGTGTTTGTTCCCTTAGACAAATGAGCATTAGGGCCTTAATTGATCTGTTTAATTCAAAACACCCAACAGCAGAGTAACAAACTATCTAGACAAAAGAGATTTTTTGGTTGTGAACCATGAAACAAAATATTTGTATTTTAGGATATACTAGGATTTGTTGTTGGGTTTTTGTTTGTTTGGTTTTGTGTTTGCGGTTTTCTTAGTTATATAGGGTCCCTGAAACGAGGGTATATTAGAAATAAATACTGACTCAGAAGTACCCTTATTGCCTGTTTCTGTTTCAATATACAGGCTTTTGCTCTTTATCGCATCAGGACCATCTGGGGATATAACCATAAATAGCAGTGGGGGTGAAAATTATTTAAATTATTTATCTGCAACTTCGCTGCAGATTCGGAATATTTAATATTCTTGTCTGGATAATTTTGCTTTTCCTCAAACTCAAGAATGCATGCTCCTCCTACTACTAAACATATAGACTTTATCTCTCACATTCAAAAATGAGATGTTACACTTGCTTTGTATTTTTAAGGAAAGCACCTCTCCAAGATGCACGAAAAAGGAAGCCTATAAACACTGCTTCAAAAGGAAGGACTGCTACATAACCTTTTGACCTCTAACAAGGCATTCTCTACTATTGCTGATGTGAAAAAAGAAGTTGCAAAACACATTTTTGTCTTTTTTACATACTTGAGGATACAGAAAGAACAACATTATTAGAAAGGGCACATAAAACATATTCACACAGAATGAAATCACAAGTTTTAAGAGTGTCTGATCTTATTCCAGCTTGTAAAACCCAGGATGCTGACCATTTGAATTAGGATCATTGATAGCTACAAGGTGCTTCCTGTAAAAATTGACATTTAATTATGACATACTGAATCTGAAAGATGTCATGATAATTGAAGCAGTTGGAACACACTACTTAGGATTAATTAGGTCTTCATTTTAAATGTTACATTTATTTTGACTTTAATTTGATATAGCACTTCTATAGGACCTTTGTTTAACTTCATGTTACTTCTCAAGGTACTTGAGGTAAGAGGATTCATCTTTCAGTCTTCATCAGTCTAATAACAAGGTGTACTATCTTAGCCAGAGCCTAGCACATCCCTCTAGGACCATTTCTATGCATGTAAGGGAAAAGACATAAGCTAATCTCAACAGTAGGCTCTTAATCAGTCTCTAATTTAGAAAAATAAAGCATACAGTACTGAATCAAATGGCTACAGAGATTCAAACCTCCTCTCTTTCATGAGCACGTACTCAATGCACATGCAGATAACTGACAGAAAGCACACACTTCTTGTCAGCGTGAGGGTTCATTGCAATACAAGCTAAAGCTAAGCAAAGATCCTTAGCCAAACTTAGAACAGAAAACTGATTTTCCATGCCTTCAGGCTGTGTATAATTGTAGATACTGGCAAAGATTTGGCCTACAGGTAAGATGGTTTATTGTATGTTTTTTCTCTATTCCTTTGTTTGTGAGACACTTACCTTGCCTTTCTGATTCAAAGGCTCAATAGTTAAGTTGTCAGTGCCAATGTCCACAATCATCCCCATCTGAAACCCATCAGTTGGGTGTGGAGCCCAAACGGGCTTCCCGTCTTCCATTGTGGGATTTATCCAGTATTTCCTGTAAAAAAAAAATAAACAAAAAAAACTTTGTATACAAATTCAGTAAGCCATCAGGATTCACTACACAGACTTCAGTTTATTATGTTTATTCCTATTATTCAGTGTGAAGGGAGCCAGCTCCCACAGATTGGAGCCAGCCTTTTTCCAACCTGCAATACTTTGCCTAAAGAGGACACCCTCGGATTTGAGTATGGAGAAGATTCAAAAACATATCAATTTCTCAGGGGGTCCACACACTGCTCCCTGCAGCTCTTTCTCCAGCTTCCCTAACTTGTGAACCAAGAAAAGAGATCAATTTAGAAGGGCAAGACAGATTTCAAAGCTAAGACTATACTTAGGAGTGTTTATATATATACCTATATGGATAAACATATAAAGACACACATACACACGCATATATATATCTACCTGTATGTGCAGGCAGAGGGTCACATGACTAATGGATAGTTGTCTGTACCTGATTTGGTGAACAAATACTTGAATTTCTGCAAGAGTCACATGTTGAGGCATGTGGGCAGAAATCCAGTCTCTTGGCATTTGAGACAAATGAATGTGTTCGCTCTTTTTGTGTGGCTGAGACTATGGTTTTTAAATAACCCACAAATATATTTGGTCTCAATTTATTATACTATAAGCCTTTGAGAGACTGACCTCCTGATACTGTAACATTACAGCTCTGCCTCTTAAGGAACATCAACCTTACTTTCTATAAAAACGTCATGTGAGAATTGTTTCAGAAGAATTTTGATGTACAAGTGAAATGGATGCAAAGGCCAAGACATTCAAACCTTATGGTCCTCGAGTTATGCAGCTAAATAAGCTCCCAATTAAAAAGGAGTATTTGATGACACGCAATACGCATTGAGCTGACCAGGAAAGTTGCCAAGATTGGCACACACTGAATGGCTAACGGTGCCATTTTAAAAATGCTGAATTGGTCCCTTTTTTTTGTGTTGTTTTTTTTTTTTAAACCTACTTTATAGTCCTTACCCTAATAAGGATAGAGTCCACTCAGCTTGAAAGGCTCACTTCTCCTGGCTGTTTCTTACTCTCCTCCAAAACTCATTCAGATACTAAACTGACATGCTTTAGTGATTCCAAAATTTGTAAAAAGTATCTCATACCACAAAGGTGTAACTCGCATCTCTCAGCACAAACGAAATGAGCCTACCAAGCAGCAAAGAAAAAACTAGTAGCAAATATGCCAGAAGTCTGTAAACTAGGGAAAGTGTCCCATACTTTTCTTTTCCCGTATCTGAAGGAAAAAGAAGATCCAAAATTTCTCACAACCAACAAAGGCTGCAGATCTGTTTGCCATAGGCAGTGGCAAGGAAGAAGAATGACTGGCCCACCAGAAAGCTGTACAACCATGAGCAGAAAAGGACATTCTTGTCCCACAGAGGATCTCTCAAGACATACTGCACTTGACATGCTTTTTATTGCCTCCATGGACAGGTTAGAAAGGTTTGAAGAGAAGGAAAAGGCTTGCTGTGATCTCTTTGAGAACGCTTCTGGTCTTAGCATCTTACTTAACAGCAAACTGTCTTAATCCTTTGCAACTTTAATGTGAAATAATAGAAGATAAGTAATTCTAAAGAAAAAACAAAGATATTTTTAAATGAAGTAGCATTCTAATGGGACTTAGAAAAAAATAGCTACTTACGTTAGTGTTGATGTCTAGTTTTGTGTTTAAATTTACTCAGTTAATCCATTCTTTTCCCCTGAATTCAGTTCAGGATGCAAAAAAGCTCATGAAGATTTTAACAAATATTTCTCTTGTATTCTACTCATGCAATTCGTGCTATTTAAAACATTAGAATTATTACAGGAAAACTTGTGGTTTACTTTCCTCCCACAAACAGAGCATATTAACTTCTTTTAACTACTCACAGGAAGTTTATGTTCTAAAATCTCCAGTGTCACATTCACTTCTATTTACTTAAAGCCTTTTGACACAGCCCATGAACTCTACGAAGCAGCATCTTCATCATGTGCTGCCATCACCATACGATAAATCATGTAAACAACATCTGTATTCACTCACAATTGGCTGTTGGCCATTTTTTTTCACTTTAGGATACTGAAAAAGGAATATTTTTCTTCCAGCAAGATCTGACCTCTGAGTCCAACTGCCATCATGGGCATAGTTGCTAAACAGCTGAGTTTATTTCTGGCAATAACCAAGACTACATTTCTTCACAAACCTATCATTTGCTTTTAAAATGCTAGTTCAACTTAGTACTTAAGCGATATGTCCAACAACCACTAAAAACAAGGCTGTCTTTTATATCCCGAGTAGCATTGCATGGCCAGGGCTCCAGACATAACCATATGGCACAAGAAACAAATTCTAAAATTACTGCCAAACTTTCAGCAGAAGTTAGAATATAACCTCCCCAATTCACATCCAGATGCTTCTGCTTTGCTTACCAACAGGGCCTCCTGCATTCTAATATATTCTTAAGGCTACTTCATACTCTATTAACATATTATGATAGAGGAGTGTTACAGGCTGAAAAAATCCTCTTGAAGAACAGGGCAGTGATTGAATTCAGCCACCACCAGGAAATGCATGTTTAAGAAGAGTACCTGAGGCTTTGCAAGCATCTAAGAAGCCACTGGGTGAAAGCATCTAAGTAGAAGTGAAGTATTTATTCATGAGACAATTAGTTTTAATAAATACAGTCTTCTGTCTGAGAAGTGACACAAAACCAGTTGTAACATTTTGGTTTTGGCACCACTCCATTTCTGTCCACTGTGATTCTACCAGAGAACACACTGAAACTGGATACCAAAACCAATCAGGTCATACCTGCTCTATTTACCCCTTCATCTGATGTATGTGCCATTGTCTTGAGACAGATGCATGAAGCCTATTTCTGAACAAGCTCTTAAGTAGCCAGTTTCAAGCCCAGCATTTTAAGGTGAGCAGAAACAAAAGAAGATCAAAGTTCAACTACTATGTAAGTCCTTCGGAAAAAGAAAACAGCACTTTTTAACAACATAGAATTGTATTTTACTGATTAAAACATACATCACAAGAGTACAAACTGGGAAAAATACAGATTTGGATGGAGAACCTTCAAATCATATTTTCATCATAAAACCACAGACCCAGTCTGGTTACAGACCTTTCATTAATAACTATCAGTGGGAACAAACTTTTTTCCCCAACATGCATGCATCTAAATTCAATCTACATGCAGTCAGCTTCACCACACTGCTGAAAGAGCACACAGCTTCTGAAAACAGTCAAAGCAAAGAGACTCACGTCCAGGCTAAAAGCACTAAAGCAACACCAAACACAAGGAGTCACCTGAATGATGCTTCCAAAGGAAGCCAGAAGAAGCTATCTTCCACATTTGTATTTGTATTTGTATAGATGCACTCAATATATACTAAGTCTCCACAATTAAGACTTCTTCCAACACGAAGAAGAGAATTCACAAAGGTTATGTTTATAACTGGGAAGTCAGCTGCTCTTTTCTCTCCCTACAGTCTGCAGAAAGAGACCAGGAACCTGGTACTGGAATTTTTCTCTCTGTTGAGTAGAAAAGGGATAATAAGAAAATAAACCTTTGCCTAAAGTTGGTAAACTTAATTCCTTCAAATGGCAGATTTTATTTTTTCATAATTGGCATGCAGTAATAGACCTTGCCTTAATTATCAGGAAGAGTACTTAACACATTCAGCACTGGCTAAACACTAGTAGCCAGTACTTCAAACAACTTGAAAGACAAAACTATACTGCACTGCACAGATTCCAAGAAAAACACTCACCAACATTTCCTGAACTTTCCTCTGCACTATTATCTCCCCTTTTGGACAATGTTTAATAATATTTTTTTCTCAAAAAAATTATCTACATAACACACTGAGTATATGAAACAACTACTGATTCCTCAGTTGAAAGCTGACACACTATCACCCCACTTACATTTACCTAAACAGTATTGATTTTAAAAGGATGTAATACAACTACATTTGGATGTTTTAGATTATTCAAAAGGAAATCAAACACTACCATCTCATGAAAGAATTCTAGGAAGGCAAAATACAGTAATGCAATTCTAACTTGTTAACAGAGCCCAGAGGTAGGCATTTGCATGATCTGATCCTATTTACTCTCCTATGAACAATCTGCTATACCAAAGCACTGTACTGATCGCTGAATTAACTCATTAAAACAAATGAAAAATTAGACTTCATTAAACAACCGACAGTATCTCATTAGGATGGCTAAGTCCAAGGAAAATAAACTAGCCAGAATAGGTACAGCAGCAAATTATCATAGTAGAACACATAGGTTATTTTATATTAAAAACACCTTGTACTTGTGTGTTTGACAGCTGCTCAAAATTCTGCAGATTACAGCAGGCACATGAGAATGCTTTGGGAAAGGTCCTGTGAATATATAGAAGAGACCAGACAGAGAAAAACATTGATACATAGTGGTAGCTTACTTTCAGAAAAATTAGTTTTTCAACCCTAGTTCACTGCTTAACTGAAACTTCAACAAATTAAAGCTCAGGCAGCATTCAGCACTCTACTGCAGGTGACACAGTATTTCAAAGGAGCTGCAGGTATAGTACCGATTTATTTTTATTTAAGCTAAATGCAATACAGCTATAACCACACTGTTTAACTGATTATTAAATCCATTCTGTTTTTATTTTTATTTACTTTTCCAATTCACTACAAAGTCACTCTAACACGTTCTGCTTCATCCATGTCACACTGCGGCTTTCTCATACCTAAAATAACATCAGCAAGGTAAGTCTGTCAAGTGGAGACTTCTGCCAAACTGGAAAAGAAGAAATGAGCTGGAATATAGCTCAGTACAAAAGTATCTTCAAAAATAATTTCCTTGGAAAATCTTAATGCCAACTTGTTAATTGTCAATACATTGTAGATATATGCAAGTAAACAAAGAGTAATCATTCCCACATCTGAGAATTATTAGATAAAAACTTCTTTTAAAGCTACCTGCTCTGACTG